TTGGGCTCTTCTTTGACTGACGTGTCTCGATATTCACATTTAGGCCTTTTGTTCACATTGAGTGTCCCAGTATCTCTTTCCATCTGATGGAGTGAACTGCAAAATGAAATTAGTGGACTGATTCAGTCAAACAGCGTGTCAAAAAAGGGCTCGTGTACATGGGAGTCTGTTTGAGATCTTTTTATTCCAGATTACCCGAGGCGTCATCTTAGGAGCTTCTTTGGGTAAGGAGGCCGCCTGTAGAAGACTCGTGAAGTTCGCCCACAGTGTTACATTACTGCCATTCTTTTGTGACTTCAGATGGCATTATTGATCTCATTATGCAGAAGAATCACTACTTGATTGTGAGATAATTCATCACCTTCTTTCTTGTAGAGAAGCCTCATAAACACCAAAACATCACACTCAGCATGTATCAGTCTGTTTGACAGTGTGTGTTTGAATGCAACACTTGCTGAAAGGGTGTAGTCTATTTGTGTGATGTGTGATGCGCCTGTTTATGTACACACATCTGCATTTGAGACACAGAGTATAATATTTGTTACATTAACAACAAAGTAACTTAGTTCAGTAACATTTCCAAAGGGAATGTGTGTATCAGATGCTCAGCAGTGACTTTGTAGTGAACTTATCATACTTTCTATAATGTTTACTTCAGTATCCATGTAAGGTTGCTATAGGGACATTAGTTATTTTATTTGATTAGTATCCCACAATGTAATTGTACCAGCTGGATTTTGTCACATGCTTAAAAAAATTAAACACTTCATCCCTAATCCCTCGTGGTCTCGCTGGAAACAAGGCTTATTAACTCACTCTATTTTTAGTTTACCTTGTTATTTTTACGTCTTTTAAATTAATGGAAACAGCTTCTTTTAAAAAGCACATTAATGACAGCATCACCAGTGACGTTCGCATGAAGAAAGGCAGAGACTTGCGCTAAACGCAGCGCCGCTCTGACGCGTTTTTCTGCAGCGCCTCTTTGCGCACACAGATATAAAACCCAGCGCGCACCAAGCACCCAGAAGAGCAGAAGAGACCCTACAGGACAGCGCGCAAATCTCCTCCTAAGCCTTTGGTAATGTAAGTATCTTGATATTTGATTTACAAAAACCCTGACAAGAAATTATTAAACTTATGCAGACTTACTTAAGTCTCTCGACATGTCTTGTGATGATTGTTTGCAGGTTATGCAGCTGCAAAAGTGCTTGTTATTGGAAATCTATTGTTAATAATGTTAGTGTAATGTTTGCATGTTTTTATACTCCGATGAACTTTAAAAAATATTCCTCAAGCAATGTATTTAAAGCTGAACTGTGATCCATCTCAAAAGTAATGATTCATTTTAAAAGAGAAAGGGACATTTAAAGCACAGTGAGAAAAGTGCCCAGTGTTGTGACATGGAGTAATAGTTTTTACTTTTTTCGGTCAGATGCATCCTAACTTGGTGAGCTGGCTGGGGACTCTGGGGTTCCTGCTGTGGGCACTACTCTGCCTGGGCGCCCTGACGGAGGGATACCCGGTGAAACCGGAGAACCCCGGGGAGGATGCCCCGGCGGAGGAGCTGGCCAAGTACTACTCAGCCCTGAGACACTACATCAACCTCATCACAAGACAGAGGTAGGCGGACTAATTATACCTTTCTGTAGAATAGAGTAGAATAGAAAGCTTATTAACAGAGCTGGAGTTAATTTGAATTCAGGTTTAAATTGATATGGCTTCTTTCTTTTCAAATGACTCTATTGGTAATAAATGTCCACTGGCTGGTAGCTTCCACTTTTAATTATTATATTTAATTGCATTCTAGTCTATTCTGTCCAATTCTATACATTTGTAACCACTGAATATAATGACATGATTGCTATCAGATTAAACATGCCTAAGTAAGTTGAGTGGCGCTTCAGTATATTATTCCAGTTAAAACCATTTTCTCTCATAGCCCTAAATATTGTACCAGTTCCAAGTTCTGCTAAGTAGAATGCAGAATTTTTTATTCAGGTGGATTGTTTATCATCATGGCTGGAAGCTCACATAATATATTAAATGTGAAAAAAAAATGCTATATTTTCTTCTATTTCTCTGCTATCACCCAACTACTTATTGGTGGTCTTTGTAGGATACTTTCATTAGCTTTCTGTTACGCTGTTGACAGCGTGATCGAACAATAAAGCACAACATTTTCAAATCAAACAAACAAAGGGAGTCCAACCTAAACTCCTGCTTGTTGGAGCTGCCTGTCGAAATCTGACTGCAGCTTCTCACACCTTGCTACAAAGCGGGGAACACCCGCTGCCCATTTACCACCTGTAGAAAAAAAAAACCTGAGGAGAAATGACTGCCACGGCCAGCATGCCGTGTCAAATCACCTGCAGTTTTTAGCTTTCTTCTGAATGTCAGGGGCTTGGATGCCACTGCAGGCGTTTAGCAACCCAGGAGGGGAAAGCATGCCGGCACGCCTTATCATCTGAGAGGCAGAAAGGGAAATATTACCACCTGCGATGCAACTACTGTCTACCACTGCAGGGTCTCGGTCTGACTGTGTTCAGGCTTGACTGAGCTTATAATTGGATATATGACATGAGGACATGCAGAGTATTAGGTTCTGTTATTTATTTGTCTGTGCTCAATTCAGCCAAGGTCTCTCTTTTTCTTTGTAACTTTTTTTCCATTTGACAACCAAAAGGTTCAAGTTGGTGTGAAGCTGAATCATCACCATTTCCATTTTGTCTGTCTGTCCCTTTGTGTGTCAGGTATGGAAAGAGGTCCAGTCCTGAGATTCTGGACACGCTGGTCTCAGAGCTGCTGCTGAAAGAAAGCACAGACCAGCTTCCACAGTCGAGGTGAGTGTAAGGCTGTGAATGTAAGAGCTCCACATTGCTTTGACCCTCTCAGGAATCTGACCTTGACCTTTGCCTCTCTCTCTTTCTAGATATGACCCATCATTGTGGTGATGCTGTTACCCACTTCACTGCTGCCCCGCCGCCGCTGACATTCTGACCTCTACACATCCTCCACTCCATACCCTCCTACACCAAATGACCACCCTGCCTCTGTCCCCTTTACCACTATGAGCCGCCAAGTATATTCAGCCCCTCCTCCTTATCCCTCCGCTACAGTCACTACTGCTTATAGTATGTGCCATAAAATTGTAAATAGTTTATTGAGAGTTATCATCTGTGAAACATAAAAGTAAAGTGGGGGAGGAGGGCATGTTGATTGTATTGTATAATTGTGCTATTAAAGATTAATTGTTTGAGGAAATGTATTTCTTTGCATTCGTTTGGTCGGCTAACTTTACCACATTTTTATCAGGTTTCAGACATTTTGATTTTAAATGAACTGCAGTCTCAGTCTTAAGTCTCTAAAACATGGACCAGAACGTACATGAGCAGATTTGGAGAAGGAAAATGAAGCAATTACTTATGGCTGATATCTTATTTTTTTCCCCCATGTAATTAAATATTTGATATAGGTTGCCCACTGGTCCTGAATGCTCCCCTGACGTGAAAATATTTTGTTGACATGCATACTGTTTTCTTGACGTATTTCCCTCATGATGAGATCAAGTTTGGACTTGCTGTGCCACACCTTGCTTCCCGGCTGAAATCCATAACTGCACCACCTAATGCAGCTCTGCTCTATGACTCTAGATAATGGGGCAAGTGCAGGAGGAGTACATTTAAACTGGGTCTAACAAGCATGAACAGTCCAGTAAAAGCTTACATGGTCAGAAAACATCAATTTGAAGCTGCCAATTGTGTGGCTAATGGCGCTCCCTTGTGGCCATGAGGATAAGTTCCTGCTCTGAAACTAAATGAAGGCAGAAATGGCATTTCCAGGAATATTACTGCAATTACAGGAGTGGTTTGTCTACCTCCACCTGACATCTAATCAGCCCACAGAGCACAAATCTGTTAATCGGCGAAGAGCCAATCCAGACACACAGACTGCAATGGAAAGAAGATAGAGGAAAAAACATTCAAAGGGGAATCCAGTGAGTTCTTAGTATTCATGTGGTGGGAAGTGGGAACAAGTATTCAATGATTTGCCTTGTAAAATAGTGACATCTGGTCAATGGCTGACACTGAACCATGAATAGACCCATTTCACAGCAGCCATTTTGACATGAAATTGTAGGGTAAACACAGATGTGGACAATAGCAGCACCCTTACTCTGACCTAAATGGAACAAAACCTTAATTAGTATCACTGGTAACACCTGTGTTTACCCTACAACTTCATGTCAGAATGGCTGCAGTGAAAAAGGTCTATTTGAAGACTTTCAAAAGATCCCTTGCTTTCAGCCTCTCTTCCTCTCTCAGCTAAAGGCTTGAGAGTTGAGTTGATAAAAGTGGCTGAAAAATGAATGCAGACAGTATACAGTGTGGTAAGACTGTAAAGGCTGCCGTGGGACTTAACTCCTTATCCTGAAATTCCCAGTTAATCTGAAATGTGGAAATAATCACATGAATTTGGTTCACATGGCCACTAGAACTGCTGCTAAACGTCACATTAGCTAGCTAGGCTATTGTTTAAGTGTGTCAATACATCAATGGGCTATGGGAAGCTATATATTATTTTCTACCACCTTTATGTTACTCAGGAGTGAATTTTGGGTGGCCATTTTGTACTTCAAATCTCTCTTGGTGTTAGCATAAATGTGGCTATATTTGTTGCCAAAACGAGTAAACAATATTACTTTTTAAAAAGTAGTAGCCCACAGCCCTATATTAGCCTATTATTACAGCTTCATAGACTATAAAAAGTTACAGCGCCCGAGTTAGGCCTATACTTCTCTGTGGGAGCCTGCTTTAATATCTATAAGTCTACATTATGCATTCGAAGCTAACATGTATTTATGTGAATGGACATTGTGATGAAAAGAAAATACTATATGCTACAATATATTCACTTAGAGAGGGTTGTACCTCGGCAGCCATTGGTCCATATTGTATGACGCCAGCTGCGGAGGCGGGGCGTGTCTGTTTGATTGGCGTCGTGTTCTCTGGTAGTCTGCTGCGGGACCAGGACAGACAGCTGAGGGGGGCCTGAATGTCCAACCGGGACAGTCGGTGGACTACCGCGAACTCGCACGCACGATTCACAGGTAAGTCACGGCTCGTGATCATGTTTGTGATGTGAAGATTGTGAATTCATTCATCCCCCGGCATTCAAACGGGAGACAAAGACACTTTACCGTGTTTGAGGTGCAGTAGAGTTTGACAGAAGGGGAGGTTTGCCCCCTATAGAGCCCGCTCTGCTGTGAGGACAGGGTTTATTCAGACACATATCAGTTTGCGTTGGGAGTCTATTGTGGAGTCGGACGCGTCCTTTCTCTTTTCCCGCATATCACGAGGAAGGATACAGCGGATGGGTTGTAGTCGTAAGTGTGCGCACGCCACAATGGCTCGGATGGGTAACAAAAAATGGCCGCACGTGTGGCGAGATCGGTGTGAATGTACAGTTGTCTGGTCAACCGAAAACGGCGCAGGCGTTTGGCACGGATCTGGCGCACGGTTAAAGCGCACGGAGATTTGGCGCACGGCTGTGGCCGTGCGTCAGAATCGTGGCGTCGATCCCTGACTGGAAAGATATGAGGGAAGAGCCGCAGGTTATAGTGCTGACAGGATGAGGAGGTTGGAACGCGCTACCGTCCCGAAATGATAGACTGCAGCATTTACCAGCAAAGGGTGGTGGTGGTGGTGGGCTTGTGTAAAGAGTCACAGAGTGCGCTTTTACTACAACATCAAGTCACAGTAATATCTCCACCATGTAGAACACTCTCTCGTATTTTGCTGTGTAGAAAAACTTTCACAACAAAGATCAACAACGCGTTGTTTGTATTGAGCTGATGCCGAATGAAAACGGAGAAGGGGACCGGTGGCTTGGCACAGACTGACCGACCGGAGGCGCAGCCAGACGGTCCTATTGATTTTTATTTTTTGTCCGAGTGCACCATCTAATAATAATGCACTAACACGATGTCAACCCTACTTTATGTGAGCACTTAATCGAAACATAAAACCCACTTACATATCACAACAGACTGTGCAGCTCTCAATGAATCTTGGGACTTCATTGCTCAGAGGAGCATAGGGTCACTTGGCAAGGTTTATAAGCTGTTCAGCCTCGCGCACGTGATGGGGGAAGCCCATGCACATACGCAACATCCTTGGGGATCCTTCCTGGGAGGGTCTATATAGGCCACCAGACCACTGAGAGGGGGTAGCATGGATCGTGTTGCATCTAAACTAGAGTTTATGAGTCTTTCTCTCTTCCTTTCAATCATATAATAAGCCCTAATCAGATTTATTGAATCTAATAGGAGGAACAAAAGGAGGAAGGGAAGGAGACTGAGACAGTTTAGTGCATTAGAGTAAACCAGCAGTCCCTGGGCAGGGATATCCAGTAAAGCTTTTGAGTCAGGATTCAGGATGACCTTTATTGTTTTGCTGAAGTAGGTGGAATAAGGAAAGTTAGACCCCTCAGCCCTCATATGCATATTCCTTCCTGTCAGCAGGGCGGAGAGGAACACGAATTTCAAGTTAAACACATGCTCCCAATGTTGGAACATATGAGAGTTGTCAGTGAGTCATTCAGAGACCAAATCCAACACTCAGAAGCTTCTACTCTTCCATTATTAATACGCAGCTATGGGGGAGATGGTACAGAAAAAAAGAGGAAGGGAGACATAGATAGAGAAACACACACACACACACACACACACACACACACACACACACACACACACACACACACACACACACACATTGGAGTGACTCAAACCTTCCAGCTATGAACAACAAATGTATCACAGGGCTGTTATCTACACACCTACAATCAACCCTCCCTGCCCTGCATCAGGGCTGCACCTCCCTTCAGTTAACACATAACTGACCCCATGACAGCTATCACGAGCTAATTGGATCTCTGTCGAGTAGAAACACAACTTAATGACTAACGTATACGGAGAGGGAAATTATTTTGGAATGAACTTTGTGTAAGAATTGCTATAAGGCAAATGTCTTGTTGTTTTTGGCCTTAGTGTATAGTGCAGATTCACATGATTTAATCCATCACTAAGGTTTCAAAGGGGCATACCACTGCAGATCCACAATACAATTATCCATGTAACATAAGACAGTGTGGTTTGTCTTTCATCACCTAAATAAAATGTTGAATATGTTCTGAAACTTCACCGGCAGCAGACTGATAAAGATGGGAGAGCTGGCAGAATAAGTATACTACTTACTTACTACTTATATTTTCTGATGAAAACTCATATGCAAAGGGATTATTTCAGGTCATGTAAGTAAAGCAGCCCAAAGTCTAATTTATTTGTACTGATGCAGCTCCAGCCAATACTGCAGCAGAGCCCTTATTCTATGAAGGAGATGCATGTGCTTGTAATTCTCGCAACATTCAAAAATATGATGAGACGAACTGAGAAAAAGGCAAACACGCTGGGTAAACTCCTCTGAGACTAATTTCTTTTCCTTATCTCTTCCTCTCTCTTCTGGCGTTTTCCCATTTTCACACAACATCAATTTTCTCATTTTTAAACTTTGCAGTCATGTTAAATGCTGTTGCATCACTTCGCCCTCCCCCATCCCCTCCCAGTCTTTTCCCTAATACTAATGATCAGTAACAGGAGGCTGGGAAGGGAGAGAGCCTGAGAGGAAGCAGGCACGGCCATGTGGCGGGTTAGATTATCTCACAAGGTGCTCATTACCAAGATCACTGCACGTTCAGTGCCGTAGGGTTTTGACGAACTGCGGACGGCCGTGTAATTATATCATCCTGAGCTGTGTGGTAAAGCCCAGCTGGAGCATCACCGAGAAGGAGAATGATGTCATTTTTGGTGATGGCGGGGAAAGTGCAGTGACGCAACAATTGATGCCTTTGTGTTATAACAGTGGTACTTTAGATTGCAGAGTCAGGTGAAGAGTGTAAGCATGAATCAGCAGAAACCATAATTATTGTTTTTTGTGGTGGATTTTGAGAAACTGAGCTGATTTCATCAACTTTCTGTGGACAGTGGCGTCAACAGCTGCAATACCAGAGAGATAACTGGTTAGAAAATGTGGTTATGGTAAATATTCTGCCAATATTGATCTGCTAAGATGGCCATCTTGGGGGTAGCAGTGTAATCCTCTTATTGAGCGGCTGTGTTAACACATGGAGTGACCTACATAGGGCTTTCCTTGAGGCAAAGGGTTATGGGTGCGAGGTAGGACAGGATGGTGTTGGTTATGTGGGGAGTGGTTATATGAATAGACAGTCATCACACACACATGTAAGTCCACAAACACACACTGCTTCCTTGAATAACTCCTCTAGCGCTCACTACCATACCGGTGTCATGCAGTGGGAGCGCTGCAGGTCAGTGCTCAGGAAAGTTTATTAATTGCTCTCTGCTACCCCTGGAGTCAGCCAATGACTTGGCGTCTGGACTCCAAGACAGAACAGAGCTCACTGGCCTCTTTTGTGATTCTCAAGTCATTGAGAGGAACTGAGAGTGACGGCTGCTCTGAGAGCCCTGCGCCCCCGGCTCTGTGGTGAACAGGAGGGCAGAGAGTACGTCTTTGTCAGGCAGAGAATAGAGGTAAAGGGAATATATACGCATAGATTGAATGGTTTCTCCAGGATGGATGCTTGACTCAGTGTGTTTGTGTTTCATGACCCCAAGCAATGTAGAATTTGACTTCATCTGAGGCTATAAATTCACAAAATGTGCTCGTTGAGACGCCGAGTCGGACTGAGATTTCCTGCTGGCGTGACTAGAACTGGTGGAATTAAAACCACACAGCCTGCTGATGTTTGTCTGTGCTTTAAATAGTGTGCCCATGCGCACACGCGTGCACATTTACATGTATGAGACAGAAATGATGTTTTGTACAAAAACAAACCCTCTGATCCTTCCATAATCCCCCTTCCATCAGCTGTCCATCATCTGAGTGCTTGGCAACCAGGGGGCACTCAGAGGGCTTTTGTTTGACTCGTCCTTTCCTTTGCACCAGCCAATGGCAGCCAGGGTTGCAAGTTACCACTTCCTGGGATTTTCCCTCTGTCCCAAGAGGAGGAAAGAGGACAGTGATTGTTATAAAAGGACATCAGGGAGTCCTGAGTGCAGTGTATGCTCAGAGTTTAAATCAATGATAGAAAGATTGACTTAGTTTGTGTTTGAACCCAGTTCCTAGTCCCTGAAATGACCTGGCTTTTGCATGCAAATAAGTGCACAGGCAAATTCTCCATCGTCTATTTTATGTAAAGCCAATTATCAGGAAGAATTCAGTGACATTCAGATGCAAAAAGACTGTAATTTGATGCAACTATCACTAGACGAAGTACAGTTACCTGGTAGTTTCTAGAAACTGGTGTTTTTATGCAACAACCACACTTTTCTGCCTCAACACTTTCTCATCGGTTCCCTCTCTTCCTCTTATCCTCCTGAGACTTGAGAGACTTTTACCACAACTCTGTCTAATCTTTAAAGATTCTTCTCTCTTTCTTCTCTCCTTTGTGACTCCTAATGTGCCAGTTCTTTATTCCTTATTCTCTTGCTCTGTATCTCCTCTCCGACTCATCTGAAATTTTCCCTCTCCCTATGCTAACTTTTATACTCAATCCCATATTGTTTCTGCTCAGCGATTCACCTCTATTTGTTCTTCCGTCCCCGTTCGGACCTTTGATTGGCCTGAACCGGCTCCTGCTCTGTGGGGCGGATGATTCGGTGAGGAATTGTCGCGGTGGCTTTGCCTCCATTAACATTCTTCCAAGGGATATCTTTCACTTCCAATGAGCGTGCCGAGCGTGATTGTAATCTGTGTTGCGTAATGAACCGACCTCTCACTCCCTCTCTCTTCCTCTCACACAGTGAAGGACCAATTAGCTCTAGCATGATGTGTGAAAATACCTCAGTAGAGCACAAAGGCATAGTGGCAAACCAGTGATGAGTACACTTTCTCTGTATGTTGTTATCACCTTGTACATGTTTTGGCACTTGGAAAATGATTGTTTCCAGTGGACCCAGAGAAGAGAGGAGCTTAAGGTCAAAGGCTAAGTGGACAGTGTGATCTCCTGTCTAAGAAAGTATTCCAAGAAAGATAATTATTCACAGTTTTATAACAGAGCGAGAGGATATAAAGTGTTATTTTTATAGAACAGTCTTTCCAGCCACCACACTACCCTTCCTTTCCTCGGGGACAGAGAAAGAGGCTGAACGAAATGAAGTGTGGAAGAGTGATAATCTATTGTTTTGTGGGTGATTGCAGGCATCGGTTATTTGTAATCACATAATTTCATTGTTTTTTTTGCTGGCTTGCATTTTATAATGGTCCATTTCACAATGGCTATTCAGAGCAGCATGAATGGGTTTAGCTCTGCTGGATGTTGCAGTTCTCTCAGACAGATGATGTTTTAAACATCGTACAGTGGGGCTGGGGTTGGTGCAGGAGAGTACTCTACATTTAGAGTCACTTATGAATAGAAACCAGAGTAGAAGAAGTGAACAAATTACATTTGAAACAGCAGTTTTGGGCTAATGCAGATACAAATACCTGTTAGTAACATTCATTCTGATTACCTGATCTTGACAGTCGCTACGTAGCAGTCTCTTTCCTTAACCCTTCATCAACTGATGGGGTTTACTCAAATGTCAAAAATCTGTACATGGTAAAACTTACCTTGGTTTTCTGAATAAAACCATGTGATATAGTCAGAAGCCAGCACAACTCAGTGGACATTGATTGGAGATTTTTTATGAACTAATTCAGATTTTTGGGTAATATTATTTTATGTTTCCACATATACCCGCCCATACCCTTTTCAAGGATCCATCACAGATTCTGTTTGCATATCAGCCAACGCCTACAATGATATAGATATTGATATCGATCCTCTAATATACAGTATTAAGTATCTATAAGTAGTCTACCTCTACTTGATACACATAGGGATGGTGTGTGTGTGCATGTGTTTGCTTGAGTTTGCAAATGAAAGTGAAAGGAGAGTCATTCTGGGAATGAATGCGTACTGCTTTGTCATTACTTTCAGAGAATAGTGTCCATTTACTACGTTGACGGCACTGTGCCAGCTGATGATGCAGGCATCCTTGAATAGCTGAGAACAATAAATCGTCCTGGATGACTCTATGCATCGCTCTGAGCGAACAACGGCTTCAGTCTGCAGACAAGACTCCTATCTTGCAAAAGAAAGGGATGACATAGATAGATAAAACGTACAATCCACGGGGAAAACTAAGGAGTCATTGAGTTTGTGTGAGCACGAGTTCGTATGTGAATGCTCAAGCGTGTGTGTGTGTGTGTGTGTGTGTGTGTGTGTGTGTGTGTGTGTGTGTGTGAAATGATGGAAACTGGTGTGCAGGAATGCAAGTAGGACAGAATATCCATGTCTCATAAGGACGAGTCTCACAGACTTTCACACGTCTGTCTCCCTCTTTCTCTAGGTCTTCACAGTTGACTGATGAGCAGCCAGTAGGACTGGGGTTGGGCTACAACGACTGGCACAGGTAAACACAACTCCCTCCCTACCTCTTCCTCAGTACCGACACACTGGAGAATTTAGGGAGAATGTTTTCTGACATGATTTTGTCAGTTCTCTGGGAGGACTGCAAGTCTTTGAAGCAAGGATGTTCTGATCACTGTTCCTAAAAAACCCTTCACTTTTAAGGAAGTAATTTCCACCTGTTTATATGTATGTGTGGATTACAGGGTTGATAATACTTCTGATCACTTAGAGGATCATGCTAATATTAATCTAAAACTGTGAAATTGACGTTTCAGTTTTATATAAAAAATATCTATTCCCTTACTGCCTGTGAACCTAACATGACTATAACTGGCAGAAAGCAAATCTGTTACATTATTGGCCATTGTTGGGTACCATTATATTTTCTTTGGCATTATGAGTCTTCACATGCTGATAGATATTCAAGTCTTATTCCATTTACACATTTAAGCAATTATTTTAATACACATAGCTCCTATTTTGCTCATTATAGACTTGGAGCTTGGTGATGAGTTATTTTCTTTAAATCTGTGTTGACTTCCCATGATGCTTTGTTTGTGTTCTCACACAGCTGCTCTGCCTCAGTGAAACTCTGTGTGATATCAGCTCGCATCTACTTTCTAAAGAGAAACAATTAGAGGAAAGTCACATAATCAACAAACTGTGAAAAGCATTTTGTTCTGTGGGTCATTTATCTTAATTTCAAGATAACACTGTATATACACTTGGCTCAGAGGCAGTGGTTGCTAAAGTACACTTCAGGGTACATCAGTAAACCTTTTCCAAACCAGGCAGTGCATCACACTATGTAGAGATGTTTGAACACTGGATATGGTGTGGGAAGGAGACAGAGATTCTGTAATCCTGTGCTTTCGTGGCCGGATTAAAATCCCATGTCCTAGGTTGGGGGAGGGGTGGACTGGGGTGGAGAGAGAGGCGGGGCGGATTAAAGCGGGCAGATCTGCTCTTTGCACAGCTGTGTCGCTGTGGGAGGGGCTTGCAGGATGCAGAAGGGGAGGAGCCTGTTTTATATGACTCTTAACACTGGGGTGTTTGAGCTGCCTATGCATCTTGACAGCCTTGATTTTTAAACGGATGAAAGGACAACCCAAACATTTCTTCTGAGTTTTTGCAGTTGGGGAGGGACTGGTGTTAAATGAATTTATCTCAACATCTACTGAATGGATTGGCTCAAAATTTGATACAGACATTCTTGGTCCCCAGTGGATGAATTGTAACAGTTTCAGTGATCCTCAGACCTTGTTTTATGATCAAAAACTCACAAAACTAATGAGCCATCAGCTTCAGACTCACTAAACAAAAGTTAGTATGCTTACATGCTAAGCTAAGGTGGTGAACATGGTCAATTTTATACTTGCTAAACATCAGCAGGTTCATTTTGAGTATGTTAGCAAGCTCACGATAGCATTCAGCTCAAAGCAACTGTGCTGCCAGTACAGCCTCACAAACCTGCTGGCATGGCTGTAGACTGTTGTTGCCATTTATTTGCAAGACTGCCTTGATGTAAAATTAATTTATTCTGTGTGCAGTGATTATTCATTTCCAAAATCTTCATGTAAAATGAGGCCCTCTGGGAGAAGAATATTTATATATGTACATAAGAAAGTACTGCATCCAGGAGCTTGCCCAAAAGTATTTAGACTCAGGCGTGAAGCATCTTAAATTGCAGCCCCAAAATGTGCATAATCCAGTCAGCACCTCAAGCCTACTGATTTAGCGTGAAGCAAGGTGGTAAGGGCACATTCATTTAAGGAGAAAGACAGACCAAAGGAAAAATGAGAGAGAAAAAATGCTCCCATTAGGCTGACACATGCTGCTTTAAGAAGGTGGACGACCACTGAGGGACTACGTACGAGCACAATCTGCACACGCTGAGAGTTTCTGCACATTGCTGCAGCAGGTAGTCCAAACCATGAGCAGTATGAATGAGAGAAAGGAGGAGGAAAAGAATGGGAATGTAGGGTCAGGCCCCCTTCAGCAACACTTACTTATGTAAGCTTACTTACATAATGACACATTCAAGTGCTGTGTGTGTGTGTGTGTGTGTGTGTGTGTGTGTGTGTGTGTGTGTGTGTGTGTGTGTGTGCGTGCGCGCGCCTCCGTCTAGACAAGTGAGGCAACTCGACTTTGGGTGGGGTCAGAGAAACAAGAGGAGGGGTACTCAAGTAAGAGAGGATGCAACAGCAGGAGGGGATTGTGGGATTATGCGTGTGTGGGTGTGTGTGTGTGTGTGTGTGTGTGTGTGTGTGTGTGTGTGTGTGTGTACAGTATGTGTGTGTGTTATCAATGGAGGGGGGGTTTGGAAGGGAGGGTATTAAAGCCAGAGCGGAGGGAGGGGACTAACGAGCATTGAACGCATGTTCACATCTGTGTATGCGATCCAGCTTTCTACCTCTCTGTCTCTTTTCATGTCTTTCTGAACTTATTTTCACATCAGCCACTTCCCTTCCTCTTGAATTTATCCCCTCATCTTTCCTCCTCCTCTCCGCTCCTCTTTTCCTCCTCATCTCTTAATATCCCCTGATCTTAATCCCACTCTATTGTCGCTCTCTTTGTGTCTCTTCTCTCATTCTCTGTCCTCAATCACCCCTCTCTCTCTCTCTCTCTCTCTCTCTCTCTCTCTCTCTCTCTCTCTCTCTCTCTCCTCTCTCTCACACTCTTTCTTCTTTGTACTCTCTCTGCCTTTCTCTGTTTTTTTGGGAGTTCAGCGGGTCAGCAGTGCCAGACAAGACGATTGGAGGACAGAAGACATAGTTGCAGAACTGCTGGTGGTTTACTAGTGGTTAGCCTTAGCATACTTGTGGCAGCAGGGAGGAAGAAGGAGGGCTTGGCGATGGTCACAGCTATGGAGGATGCCTGTCCCAATGGGGTACGGGAGGAGGAGGAGGAGATGACGCCCCCAGGACAGCCTGGCGTGGAAGGGCCCCCGGCCGTGCAGTCCACCCAGGAACCAGATACCTCTGGAGGTGAGGAAAGAAGGAGGAAAATGTGGGGTTTCACGTATTTAGATGAACAGAGAGGTGCTTTTATTTTTGATTTTGTCTTAGATGGGAGGGATCGATAGAAGGGTTTGATAATTGATAATCAGATATCAGAAGGCAGCATTGGTTGTCAGGTAAAGTCTACACAGGGAAGTGGTTGTCAGAATTTTATCTTTAAATGTAGATGATCTGATGATCCTTTAGAGCACTGGTTCCCAACCTTTACTGTCTTTGTTTACTGTATCTGAACAGGCCTGTCAGATGACCCTTCGTCCCCCTTCGTCATCATGTTCATTTAAAATCATTTTAAACTGGATGTTATTAAATATTACTAATTATATAAAACAGTGCTATGGTTGTTTTGGTCAGGTTTCCTTTGGTACTACTGCTAGCACTTGGTGGTGGCAAAAACTAAACATATGAACCATTATTTCAACCATTTATCCATTACTTTTAGCTAAATGTAACTAGTTAGATTTCATGCACTCTTAAATGCAACAGGTGACAATATATAGATTTTCTTTTGAGTCAAATTGTAATTTGTATTTTATCAAATTAGTGGTTGGATCAGTTCTTACCCTGCACTGCTGAAAAAATACACTGAGATATGTTTTGTTAAAGGCAATGTTACTTCTGTGCCAGTCTAGGTGTTCCTCTGATTTTCTTTTTGTGAGCTACTAAAAAAATAATAACACACATAATACAGGTTGCTAGGTCTTTGCTCGTGGGATTCGTGTTGCATAGCTTGAGAAACAGAGTTAGGAATTCTTAAGCAGGTGGTCTCTGCATTGGCATTCACCGCACATAGTGCTGGTAGGTGTACATACAGAGGCGGTGGTTAGATGGTGCGAGAGACTGCAGACAAACCGGAGTGCAGGGAGGAATTAAAAGCAGGTAAACAGGAGGATTCATTATGTAGATGAATGAAACAGCTGGGGAAAAAAAAAACATACCTCTGTAACTGTCCAGTGCGGTAATCTCTTTGCTTTTACAACTTCAGGCCAAGCTTAGCAAGAGGCTGGTAGCTGGTTGTATCTCCATGCCATATTTCATAGGATTATAGAGACTTTAGGTGGGCTTTAGTTCGCCTCCAATCTCTCACAGGGTAGAAAAGTATCTCAAGGTTATTTGTTGAGATGAGTAATGTACACAGTGCATGTGGCAGAGCAGGGTGGGGGCTGGGCTGGGGGTTGGACGGGCTGTGATGAGCAAACATTCCTGTGGTCGAGGACGCGGCGACACATTGAGTTGACCAAGTGGGTAAAGGTCAAAACTTAGAAGTACGGCGGGATCCAGCTGCATGTGTTTATGTTGGTTTGTTTGTGAGGTTTTGCAGTCAGATGACTTCAACTGTGAGTGAGCTCAGTTTAGTTGCATATGCAAGTGCTAGTCTCTCTCATGCATCTCTCACAAAAACAGGGCTGCACTGCACATTTGAGAAACCCGTACAGGTCTGAAAGTTCTGAGAATTGGAAACACATTATTCTCCGCATTTCAGGAGGTTGAACAATGAGTGCTTTGAGTGAATGATTGAGTGACTTGAGTGTAGTGCAATCAAAGTGGTGCTAGTTAATGTGTGTGTGCTTGTGTTTGGATGTGTTTACTACAAATACAGCCCTGAGACTTTGTGTTTATTCTAGCTTGTGAAACAAAATGTGGGGTCCCCACAGGAATTGAATATCCTGTCCACACATACCATATATCTGAACAGAATTTTAGATTGTGTCTATGTGTTGTCATGAAGTAATATGGATATGCAAATGTAATGCAGACACCCCCACACACACACACACACTTTAGTCCTTCTTTAAGAGTATCATAAATATTTAAGGTGTGTTTTTGCATGGAGTCTGCTGTTTATGCAGTCTGTCTGTGCTCTCTTATCAATCCACAGATAAATAGTATTTTCACCAATCTCCCTCTCTTCCTTCTTAATCATGCAGCAGTGTGATTTTTCTGCGTATGATGAATGGATGATTTAAAAAATGATGCTGTCAAGCTGTAGTTTCACTACTGTGACAATTTTTGTGCTCCAAGCCAGAATAAGTAGAATATAAAATGAGATATGAAATACAGAAATGCCTTCATTTTGGATGAAAAATACTACCTAACCCTTACAAAAGAAACAAATGTTAAATTATTTTTTTCACACGTGAGAACATGTTTTAATCACATGTGATACATTATGTCCAAAACCACCAATACAGATATGTGAAATTATCACTTGAAATGCTTTTACATGAGATAATGTGAATTTACGGATCCTTATAAAAAACACATGTGAAACATTTGTTCTTGCATATGATGACTTAAATTTAAGTAAAATGTCTGAAACTATCATGTGAATTTATTACAAATCATGTTGTAAGTGGTAAGTACGCTTATCGAACACCATATGACATCACAGCAGAATTTCATAATTTGTATTTTTTAAGGCAGCAATTCAGTGCATGCCACTTTTTCAGGTTGAAGAATTAGAGTAGACTTTATGACATACAGCATGAGTCAAGGTTAAAGATGATGATAGGCCAGTGGAGCAGAAAGCATGGAAACCATAGAGTGAATCGACTGTATACAAGTGCTGACTGGACATATTTACTACCCACATAAGTGTATAATGACACAGAGAAACTCACACTCACACACACGTTCCCAGGGCTTTAAGTGTCTTAAATGGGCTTACATGGGCTTTGAGACCCTGGCATTAGGGCGTCAGCTGGCTGTCCACACCTCTCCTTCTCTCTGTTTGTGTGCGTAGAATACTAATCTCAACAAAGTTCATTAAGATTCTTTCTTACAAGTGTAAACATTTGAATCATGGATGTTTTTGTGCCTCAGCATATACATATTATACAGTATATATGGTCCATGTGGGAGTCTGACTTGAAAACATATGCAAAAGTGCTCATTCTGAACAAAACAGATTTACTGTACCTCCAGATAGAGCTTTAATTTGATATTTTTAGGCGCCCAGCTATGTGACTGCTGTACAGAACCGTACAGAGTGAATGGACTGCAAACATGGCCGATCAAAGTCTCAATTTTCTTTGTTTTACAGGTGGAATTATATAATATTTGTGATTTTGGTCTAGTTTTGCAATAATTGAGTAACATGACATTTAGAGGCTGGTGGTACCTTTAACATTGTTATGTGTGTGTTTATGCTTTGTACTGCTTTGTGTGTTTATACTTTCATGCCTGGCTAACTCTTCTTATCTCTCTGTCTCTCTCTCTTTGTCTATGTCTGTATCTTTGTCTCTTGTCCCGTCCATCCAGCCATGCAGCAGGTGTTGGATAATCTGGGTGAGCTTCCCACCTCCACGGGTGCCAAAGACATCGACCTGCTCTTCCTGCGCGGCATCATGGAAAGTCCCATTGTACGCTCCCTCGCTAAGGTAGCACACACACATAGCTCGGGGTAAGCAGCAGTGAGTAGACTAACTGCTAGCCGGCTCCGAGCCCCCTCACCTCCCGCTGCTCCCAGCAGTGCTTTGTTTGCTGCGGCTGAGGTGCTGAAGTACAGTAAGGCTTTGACTAACAGAGTGCATCTGCACACAGAGGAGTTGTACAAATGCATACATACTGTCAGTAACTAGTGATGCAGCTTTACGCTGTGATGCCTTTTTACTGACAGCGCATGTATTGAAATGTGTCTGCACACAAACCATTTGCCCTAACACACATCTTCACTGCTGTAGTGAGTATAGTGTGCAGTGAGTTCAGTCAGAGGACAGCTGTAGTTCCTGCTACACAGGCTGTTGTCATTTTCCGCCATTTAACTGCTCCCCACAGGCCTGTAGAGATGACAGTTGCCTTAACATAAACAAATGCTCCTGACTTTAAATGTTGTAACATGAGGCTGACAGCCTGCTTATAGAGCAAAATAATCCCAGAGGAAAGAAAAAAAACGTCATGTAGAATCCAATATAATGTCAGCGATCCCTGCTATGCAACAAAAGTCTTTCATCCACACGTCTAAAGAAACACTAACATAACACAAAGAGTCACAAGAGAGCAAAACACATCTATCGTACCTCCACATACTACCTTCCCTAAGGTTCTCCGTCTCCCCCAGGCGCACGAACAGCTGGAGGAAGTGAAGCTGGAGGCGGTGCAGGACAACAATGTGGAGCTGGTGACGGAGATCCTGGGCGACATCAAGGGCCTCAAGGTTAAAGACGACAGCGCGGCCGAACTGTCCAGGATCCTCCAGGAGCCACACTTCCAGGTGAGGTGGAGCAAACACTCGTACACACACAAGTAAAGATGAAACAGACGTGATTTATTTGCCAGTGGATTGTAGGGGGATGCAGTGCACAGGTGCCAGTTGACACTACTTTTAACCACCTTTTCTTCAATATTTTTGCAACTTCTTTGCATTCAGCACCCGTGATTGATATCGCAACTAAATGTTGATTGTACTCCTCACAGTAATTCAACCTGTAGCCACCTTACAAAGGCTTCAAATTATATGTGTATTACCTTTATCAGAGCAGAAATCTGTAATATGTCTGTATGTCAGATTAGTCTTGATACATTGAACTCAGCCAAGAGTTGTAATGTTTTGACTGTAGTTACAGTACAGAGCTGATGTTTGGGATCCTGTCCTCATGCATCAGTAGAACATTAACCTTTATCCTTGGACCTACCATAGGCTTTACTCTGGCTAGACCAATAGGAGTTTCACTTGTGAAGCCAGCCAATCCTCTGCACCAATCAGAGCCCTTTGTGCTGTAAGCTGAAGGATAAGACCCTTTTAACCTACTGAGAGAGAGAGAGAGAGAGAGAGACAGGGAGGGAGGGAAAGGTGGGTTGGGAAGAAAAGAGAGAGGAAATGAGGGAAACAGATATTACATCACATATTGAGTGTGACAGTTTAAATTGCTTGTGTCTGTCTAATAGTTGGAACATTGTGCTGGTAGCATCTAATAAAAACAGGCTTGGATGGATGGTCAGCAAACCAAGGATTAATTGATTAGATTTTGGTGGTAATCCATATTTGGGATTTGAGCCATTAGATTATTAGTTTTGTGTGTGTGTGGGGGGGGTGGGGGGTGTTAGACACAACTTAGGCTCACGCAGGACTTCATAGTTTAGTGTTTATACACTGTGGTGTATTTTTCAACCCAGAGGACAGTAGATAAACAAACTGTTACAGATGCTGCAGAATAGCAAATTAGATGTTTATTCTACTAAACCATTCTACCATCTGTCGACATATTCCCCCTATACAGCTATCATCTAATTTTTTGCTAATACTACTACTTCTACTAATAGTAAATGCTCAAACAGTGTAACTGTTTGAGCATTTACACTGAGTGTATTGAACTAATTGAACTAAGGTGTGTTTTATTCCATATTAACTAAACTTTTCATCTCTCATCTCCCCTTCTTTCTTTCAGTCTCTTTTGGAGGCACACGACATGGTGGCCTCTAAGTGCTACGAAGTCCCGCCCCCGACTGAGACGGCCAATGATGCCGCCGTCAACAGCGCTCTGATGCAGGCCGATGCTGTGCGCATGATTGGCATCCGAAAGAAGGCCGGAGAGCCACTGGTGAGCAGAGCAAGAACTGTGTCTGTGTCTGTCTGTGTCTGCATCTGGTGTGTGTGTGTGTGTGTGTGTGTGTGTGTGTGTGTGTGTGTGTGTGTGTGTGTGGATATTGCTGGAGGGGAATGGTTGAGTACATGATTGAGTGAATCATTAAGCGTATGAGTTGATGTCAGAACAGTAAGTTTGTGGATGAAGGTGAGTGTGCATTCAGGCTGCAGAGGATAAGCATCATCCCGCTCCCTCCTTCTTCTCAGGGCGTGACATTTCGTGTAGAAAAAGACGACCTAGTCATTGCCAGAATCCTTCACGGCGGCATGATCGACAGGCAGGGTCTGCTCCACGTGGGCGACATTATAAAGGAAGTGAACGGGAAGGACGTCGGCAACAACCCCACCGAGCTGCAAGAGATGCTCAAAGACTGCAGCGGTGGGATCACGCTGAAAATACTCCCGAGCTACCGGGATGCTCCCGCACCTCCGCAGGTGAACACACACGCACACACACGCACATACACGCACACACACGTACACACACGCACACACACGCACACACACAGAAAACCAGATGTTAATGTAAACAAAAAAGCATGCACACTTATGTAATGAGCTGCAGATGTTGGGCAGTGGCACAGGGCTGGTGATATGTCCTACGGCCCTCCCACAATCCCCTGCGCAGGAATGTGAACCCTGGGAGCCCTATTAATAACACTCCACATGCTATCTAGGTCACACTAGCTGTTTCTGTCTCTTGCCCACACTCCAAACACACACACACACACACACACACACACACACACACACACACACACACGCTCCCAGTAATCTCATGCTCCCTCACACGGAAAGTACAGTAATTTACGATATTGTTAGATATTTCCCCTCATGCGTGGACCACAAATGTTTCGACCAGTTATGGCTCCTGATTGAAAAAATAATAATCCTGAAGATATTGTGCATCCAGAACAAATAGACATAAACTTGGAAATGCTTGTAAGGCTTAAATTGAACGAATGGCAGTAAAACTGAATGAGACATAATGCAAAATCACATCCTGCTTTGTGGCTCGGGGCACTCTGCACAGTATATTTTACTGGTTTGTTTTATTGCTTCCTCTGGCTGCTTGTTTAATCTAATACACTGGCCAGAGCACTTACCCTTCTTGGCAAAAGCCTCAACTGTTTGGCGCAGTGTGAACAGCTGTGTCTGGTGCAGTGGGACGTCGGACGTAATGGGTGTGAAAGAGCCACTGTCACTGTCAGTGCGAGAGGCAGCATGCTGAGCTTGAGTCTCTTTTTGTTTGTGTACTGTATTTCCGTGTGATTTTATTTAACATTTTAAGCGAGAAAAACTTTCCTATGACCAGAAATCTCTAAATAAATATTAATTTATTCCTGTATAAGCTCAAAACTGCACGTGTGTCTTGCAGGTGTATGTGCGGCCATACTTTGACTACAACCCAGCCAACGACAACCTGATCCCTTGTCGAGAGGCGGGGATGGCCTTCAAGAAAGGTGACATCCTTCAGATTGTCAACAGAGAGGATCCTAACTGGTGGCAGGTAAGGTTTCATCCATTTATTTCCTTTGATTGTCCCTCATTAAAGATTGAACTGGACTGAACTGAACTGTGATCTGTGGCAGGCATGCCATGTGGTCGCTGGGGCTACGGGACTGATACCCAGTCAGTTCTTGGAAGAGAAGAGGAAAGCTTTTGTCCCTCGAGACTTCGATGGATCAGGTATGTTAGTGTGTGCGTTTCTCACCTGGGCTTTGAATAAACACTGTATTTTGCTCCTGGTTAGGGCTGAAACATCATAAAGTTTCCTGTTTCTCTCTTTAGCAATGTTGATGTTGAAAAGATGATTTGGCCCAAAGTCTGTCAACTGGTTTGCTGTCAGACTTCTATCACATCTCTGTTGCTTTTACCACTGAAAACTGATTAATAGCCAGAAGGCCAAGGTAGCCAATATTTCCAAAACTTAGAAAATGATCCATGCCTGCCCTCTTCTGGCCAAATGCTGTAACAGCACAGATATACAAGTGCATAAAGGTTCTGTCTTGTTTTATAGGGATCCTTTGTGGAACAATAGCTGGAAAGAAGAAGAAGAAGATGATGTACCTGACAGCCAAGAATGCAGGTCAGAAGACTTTACATGCTGCTGATTTTTATCTGACATCTTTTGTATCTTTTTCCTTCATTGGCTAATAACTGTGTTATTGTTCAAACAGAGTTTGACAGACACGAGCTGCAGATCTATGAAGAAGTGGCAAAGGTGCCTCCATTCCAGAGAAAGACATTGGTTCTGATTGGCGCTCAGGGCGTGGGCCGGCGCAGCCTGAAGAACCGACTGATGGTCCTCCAGCCCACGCGCTTCGGCACCACTATACCATGTACGCAGTGCTTGATTTTAGTCTCTGTTTCTAATGTCTGTCTCACCCTGACACGACATTTAACTGAGCTTTTTGTTAAGACACTTCACGGCGGCCCCGTGACGACGAGCTGGACGGCAACTCCTACCACTTCACCACGAGGACGGAGATGGAGCTGGATGTGAAGGCCGGCCGGTTCCTGGAGCATGGAGAGTACGACGGTAACCTGTACGGCACCAAGATCGAGTCTATCCATGAGGTGGTGGCCACAGGACGCAGCTGCATCCTGGATGTCAACCCACAGGTAAGGGGAGGTTTAGAAAAGGTCAAAGTTTCAGACAGGCTTAAAGGTTAGGCATGTTGGACTGGAATTAACACATATTTCAGGGTGCTTTCAGAGAGAACATGGGGCAGCATGTAATGTCACCTACTGTGTCTCTCCTCAGGCTCTGAAGGTACTGAAAACAGCAGAGTTCATGCCTTACGTGGTGTTCATTGCGGCGCCAGATTTTGATACTCTCAAGGGCATGCACAAAGCCGTGGTGGACGCAGGCATCACCACCAAGCAACTCACGGTAGGATAACAACTCCCAGCAACACACATGCTAATGGTGATTGAGCCTGATTATACATTCACACATCTGTATCTGTACCCCCATGGGGCGGCGACTGAGAGGCATCCTAATCAAGCAAACTTTAAAGTTAGCAATAGCACACTGTGAAGACACTGCTGTACAAGAAAAATACCTACATTCAAAGATTAATAATTACCAGAGGTAAAATTACAGTTTTATTTGCCCCTTTAATTCCCCATTTTATATTTTATTATATCAATGGATAATTACTACTGACACATGTAAATTGTTTTCATGTTGTATTTGGTTGAGATGGACCTCACATATTTTTGGGTGGTTGAAACAATAACAACATAACCCCATCATAATGGTTGTCTGTGAAATGTTAATCTGGAGGAATATTTTCTTCTGAAATGTACTGGCATAAAAGTATAAAGTAATAGATAATTGACCAAATAAAGTGAAAACATCCTTCTAGTGTCAAACTCTGCACATTAAGCATTCTGCACAGTGAAGCTCAAACATCCAACTGTAGGAACAAGATGAAAATCATATTTATGATATGAGGGGGGCTTTAAATACAGTACTATTTAGTAAATGTGCTTTGTTACATTCCACTACTGTCATGATAGGTTGCTTTTGATGCAAAGTAGCAGTGACGTCTTAAACTAGACAAAATAATGGATGGTACCTGCTGTTGTTCTTTCCTTCTGGAATTGCAAAATGCCTCCAAAAGTAACTCAAATCCAATTCTTAAACCACTAATTTATTCAGTCAGCCTTTATTTACCCACCTGGTCACTGACACCTTCATTCCTCTGAGCAGTAATTCTGCATCTCGCGTCTGTAGCTTGTGTTTCCACAACTCACCCACCTGTTCTTCGTGTGCTGGCAGGATGTGGACCTGAGGAAGACAGTGGACGAGAGCGCCCGGATCCAGAGGGCGTACAGCCACTACTTCGACCTGACCATCGTCAACGACAACCTGGACAAGGCCTTTGAGACGTTACAGGCCGCCGTGGACAAACTGTGCAGTGAACCCCAGTGGGTCCCGGTGAACTGGGTGTACTGAGGACCAGCTACAGTGCTTCCACTGACCACTCTGAGCGGGTCACACTAACCCACCAGAATGTGTGTGTTTCTGACCACAAAGGCCAAAGAAGAGAAGAGGGCAGAGATACTAAATAATGATAATTAAAAAAAAAAAATCTTCTCTAATCGCTCGTTCTCCTCTTGGGCCTGCACGCTGTGCAACTTTTTTTCTACTCCAAACTCAAAGGGAAAGAGTGCTTATTTATTTTATAACTTTTTACAAAAGATCTTTCTATTCAATGTGGAATTTATGTGAGGATGAAACAAAAAAATACTGGTCACATTACCTGGGCCATATTTTTGCATTAATTTATTGTTGTAGTTCCACATCTTACTTTGTAGTTGTCTCCCTTTGATTTCAAGTATCAAGTCTTTCTTCATGGATGTCCAGGATTTCAGACAACCATCCACGCTCCGATATGAACACAAGGGAAGGAGATGAACTAGAAGATCTTTGAGCAGTCATTGTCCAAGAAATGTCAATGTCACATCTTTGCCACGTCTGAGCAACCTGCGAAGCTGTGTTTTATTTTCACGTCCATGCAACTTAATCCTTTAGTGTTTTTAAAAGTAGCCGGCCCTTAACTCTTCTATTGGTGTCCTCCAAAGGATGGGAAGAGCTTAAAAAGTCCACAGCTCCTCCAGTATGTAAAAGAGAAACGACTTTATAATGTACTTTTTCAAGATCAAACACTGTGTCTGTTAATTTTGTCTAGTTTTTGTGTTCTTATACTAGTTTTTCATCAGTGTGGTGATTTATAAAGTGTTGTGTTTTGTCACACGTGATCCTTCGATTTGTTTTAATGATCCTGTTATCTGTCTGTCTGTCTGTCTATCTAGAGTATGACCATCAACATTGTCATTGACTGTCATCGTTGCTGTCTACATAAGCCAATTTGTTAATGTTTTATATATGTGAACGTGGGCCAGACCCACTCCCTCCTTATGGTCTTTATCTTCAGTGTTGCAGTATGCCAAAGCCCTGACCATACTCCAAATAAAGTTTGAAATTGTTGAAATATAAATGTGTAATTGAACATATGATGTTGGCTGGTGAATGCATTTAGCAAAGCCAAAGGGGAAAACTAGCACTAGCATTGTCTGTCTTAAACTTTGTAAATCTTGACAAAACAAGTCATATATATTTAAATGCCATTAGGTTGTCCTGAAACCAGTATTGAACTTCAGGAAAATGTTTCAAACCTTTTTAAAATCATAATAAATTACCTTACATGGATATTCTTTGGAACATAACTTTTCAAAATCATGAGGCCAATCTGTGCCACATTTTAGAGAACAGCCCTTCTGCCTGGTGAAGTGTTTTCACATCAACCTCATGTCTACAGATTTGTTTTTCCATTTTTATCAAAGTTATGACAAATAAGATTTAATAAACTTTAACAAAATAGTTTCTTTTTCAAATCGTGTTTTCTTTATTTTAATTTATACTTTACAAGAATAATAACAATGTCTGTAGCACCAAGTGTCCAAAACTAATTAATGCTAAGTCGGGTTCTTATTCAGTTATTTTTTGGTCATATTGTCCCAGATTTCAACAATTCTGACAATTCTAGACTACTTTATTTAAGCAAAGTATATTATAGCTTGCATTTAGATGGTTTTCTTTTTATAAATAAAAACATTTTGAGGAGTAACATGTTAACAATTCTCTTAAGAAGCTTAACAGCTTGTATTAAAAATGTGCACTTTAAAACTTTAAAAACAGAATCTTGTCTTTGAAAGTGCAATGCAAACCTGAGGCTGAAGGTTTGTATTCTTTGGTAGAGACTGGTTCAGATGGACACCAGATTAGTAACTGCGACATTATTTCTAATAGGTCAAGTGGTGAAGAACCACAACTGGAAATCCATCCCCTCTCCATAGTCCTTTTTCACAGCAGACATTTCATACGAAAAACACCTGTTTCTTGTATTCAAGTGTCTTGTATGGTGGCAGAAACCTAACAAATATCTTAAAACCTGGGCATGTAAAGCCAAACTCATCTGTGTAGCTGAAGACCACTAGAGGTAAGTGAGAAATCTTTTTTAAAGATGATGTGTAAAGTTGTAACACATCAGCCTGAATTCATATTTGATGCCAGAAAGAGGGTCACACATTATCTAATAAACTCAAGTGGTCACTTCAGAGCAATTTCGTATTAACGCAGCAGCATAGAGTCCCTCCGGATGTGCATTTTTAATTTTAATCAGAGCTAATACAATCATTGACACTGCAGTATATTGTATGGTGACATTTATAAGGGCAAAAAGTTATTTATAATTATAGGATTTACACTATTATAAATAGACTATGAATAATAAAAAAAAATAAAATGATGATGGCCAAATTCCATTTAGTGGCTTCAGTTTCAATTCAAAATATAAAACAAACCTATGAATAACTTACTCAGAAAACCATGTATATACAAGTAGAAATTATGCAAAGTCTAGACTTGACTTATTTCCCTGCTGTTCATGGAGGGGTATTGCAGTTTGGCACACATATGCTACAGTGTATGATACAAAAGACTGTAGTGAACTTTGCATTATCTTTATGAAAAAATGCAATCGGACGACAGGAAAACTTTTTAAACATTTTTATTAATTAACGCAACTTACAGTCAAGCCAAAGAGTGAACTATATTAAGTGATACGTATTCACATTATGTCCTAACAGGGTTTACAGCATATCTTGTGTTCTGTAAGCATAATTGTTAACAAAAATGAGGAAATGTAAAATAGAAATCAAAGCTTACAACTTTACAACAACAAGAACAAGGAGCTTAGCAGTGGATGTGAACAAATTAAATCAGCAACATACAGACCCTCACCAGAACAGGAATGACAGCAAATTCAGTTTTGGCATGTCGTGGTTTAAATAAGGGAGAAAAGAGAGAGAGAGAAAAAAAAACAACAACTCAAAACTGAGCTCAAAATGACACAAATGAAGGGAGGTTTGAATTCACACAGCTGTGCAGGGCTGCCTTTGCCAAGAGACTTTGGTCACTTTGCTTCTCCGTCATGGCTTACAATGAAATAAAAAGCACAATGTATAAAATGAAAATGGCCAATGAGGGAAAAAAAAAACATCAAGAAAATGGAGTGTCCTGGAATCAGTTCTATGTATGAATGAACAGGGGAATATCTTATATTTTTCAAGAATCTACAGATGATTGTCTGTTTCACTTAAATGAGCAAGAAAATCAAAAAAGGTTTTGCAGTCGACTAAAACTCCAGGACAGCCCCTACATTCATAGGAGGTAGATAACATGGCAATGACACGACATGAACTCTTCAAAAAAAAAAAAAAAAATATGTGTCTGAACGGGAATCGAGCTCTCTGTCAAGTCTGTGAAATTGTAGTGCATAATTTGTTCAACTTTTAAGGCCAAATAGGAACCTCACATGTAGATCTAAGGCTATTTTAAGACAAAGGTGCAGGGGGGGAGGTGGGGGGGGTTTGGGACAGGGACACAGTAAGCAGATAACAGCCCTTTCACGACAATACCTGAGTCAACAGTCGTGTTATACCACAGAGCCTTGCAGGATGCTTGGTGCACGTCAACTCTTCGTCAACTAAACCCGATATTTTTGGCTACACAGACACAGAGAATATGCAAAAACAAAAAAAAACAAAAACAGAGCACAGAAATAGTGCTCAGTTGCGGCTACAACTGAGAAATATTCTGATGACATTTTGTGTATAAATTGCATAAATGACACATCATCATTTGGCCACAAGGTGTAACGTACTCTTTTGTTACCACAGAACTCGATCAGATTTACTGGTTGTGGCATGTGCACAGCCTGTAGTGACATTCAAACCTCCCAAAAGGGGAAAATTAAAATTTTATTGGACAATATGAAGTACACTAGAGAAAAAAAAGTCAATGCAGCATATATCAGGCTTATGAGGTACTTCATGAATATATATAGATATATCAACCTTTTTAGAAAAGCTCTTCAAAGTCATATTATTCCTTATAATTCCTATTGATAGCATAAAATACCTCGTCAGTTATTTCTTTTTACTTTCTGCCCAGCCTCAAGTGGGCAATTTCTTTTTTTGAGACTGCTTTGAAAGTGCAAAACACAAATACTGATCGTTCTATGCAGCATCTACACGCAAGGTTGCATGATAATTAAAAATGGAAATTAGTTTTTTTTTTATGTGGTGCAGCAGATTTTGTCAAAACCTTTATGTTTAAAAAGGACTCACAAACCCAATGTTGGGGCAGATGGAGAATAGAGAGATCCGACAAAAGGCACACATAAAAAGGACTACAAACACGCTGGATGTTTTCAGTTTTGACTAAAAGTTACAACAAACTGTAGTTAATTGCCACACAACCTCATATGTACCTTTCGTTGAAGTTTACAATGCTCTGATAACTTGTAAAGTATGTTCAAATGTGTATATTCCCTTTGTAATTTGTCGCAAGCAAAACTACATCTTACACCCTTTGACAAAAACGGACTTGAGTCTGGTTAATTGTAGGAGAAGTGAAAATGAACTGAGTACGAGACAGGGACTTGGACCCCGATTTTATTGCAGTACTGGGTTGACGCGGCAAAGAAATGTAGGCATTTGATCATGTGGAGTGGCTCTATCCAATATGAAACCTTAATGTTTCAACATTCTGCTAAAAATGAAACCAGAAAAAGCCGGTTCCAAATATGGAGACAAAGTATTGTCCGTCTAAAGAAAAGTCTAAAAATGTTTATTGAGTGTTGCCTTGACCGGCGTAAAGAGGACAGACTGGCGTAAAGACAAACAAATTACCAACAATCCACAGCCCACACACCAATGTTATTGCTGTACATACATCTTTCCAACAAACCATCAACGCCACAACAAATATTCCTCAGAATCACCACCATTTTACTGGAATATCAACACACTGTCATAGTGAATAGCAATTACTGTACGATGGCACGTTTGTCGATATATGATCCGGTCGTGATTAGTCTATTTCATCACATGAAGGAGTCCTAGGTTGTGCTGGGTTGTTTTAGTCACTGTTTGAAAAAAATAAAGGACTTGAATGAAACAATGAGACTCCAATTACAAAAATTTGGTCCCATAAAATGTCACCAACTAAAGCAACCAACCAGTCATACATGATTACTTGGTTTTCCATTTATTAAGGTTAAAGGAAAGAACAGTGCTCTCACACGATATTGGCTTGTATTGGTTTGGTCACAACAATTTTGGATTTTTGTTACCATTATTATAAATTAGGGCTAATATTAGCTAGCACCTGACACTGCTCTGAGGTAGTTTTTTTTTCCAAGTTGGTAAATAAAAAGCCAAGTCATTCTGAAGACTAGAAATGCTTTGAAAATACAAAAATACCCACAGGAGTCTTGCATGATTGGATGCATGTAGATCGGCTGGATGGCATTGGTTTTGTTTGGTGAAACTTGGTAACAGTTCTCCACGGCCAAGGTCAGATTTACTACAGCCCCAAAACCTAATCCAAAATGTCCACCTGAAGCCACTGCGGCTACCCTTAAACATTGTTAGCCCGAGCAGCTTGTGTCTGAAGCTCTGTGAGGCTGACCTTAAGCACAGCGGTACTTTGAGCTAAAAAGCTAAAGTCACCATGCTAACCTTTTTAGTATGACGATGCTAACATGCTAACGTAATGTGTCACCATCTTCGTTTTAGCGTGTTAAAAATATGTTGATTAGCACTTTAACACAAAGTACAGCTGAGGCTGATGGGAATCTCAATAGTTCTGCAGGTTAGCGACCAATAAAATGGCGCAGCTGCATCCCGTGGACGTGAGGCGTAGCAGTTCCTTCCTCGGGTCTGCCAGAACCCCATTTAAAATTGTACACAATAATTCAGAGTTGTAGTTAAAAACAATATTATAGGCCTAACCCTAACCACAGAGACCCTGTGGACACCACACCAGTGTCACATGGCTACAGGTAATTGGGTGGACATTGGCATGATAAAGACTAACTGTCAAGGACAAAGTGATGCTTCAGAAAGGTTTATAAAGGAATAGAAGAATGATGCTTGCTGAAGCCAGCCGAGTGCCTTGGAAATCATAAAACGGGACTTTTAAAATCTGGAAAAACAGCTGCGTATTAATACAATCACCAAAAGTAAGGAACACAAGCAACACTCAAACGAAGAACCTTAGCTTCTTTGCTTTTAAGTGGCACTGCGCTAATGAGTTAGTGAGCTGAACTCGGGGAGGATTTTAGGATTTTACAGGACAACTCTGCAAAAGACAGGAATATCAGAGAGAGGGCTTAAGCGGAAGCCAAAAAATCTAACGGCAAACGAGATCACACGCCAAAGCAACCATCATATATACACACACAGCTCTTATGATACAGCACCTCACACAAGCATGACGCCAGAGCAGAAAGGATGACGACTCTTTACACCAGTGTGAAACGTTTGCCTCCTAAAAACTACAGCAGCCAACATCTAGAGAAAGACATCTCAACTGTAGACTTGTATAACTCCTGTTAAATCACTGAAAAGATTAATGATAGCGGTGACGTGGGCGTGATCGAAATCAATGAAATATTAAAAAGAACAAAACATAATACTTTCTGCAATTATTAAAGCCTATAAATTGGAGAAAAATACACCAAAAAGAAAAAGAAAAAAGGCTGTACACAAGAAGCAAACATGAGTATAAATGTACTGGATGGATAGCCTATACAATATTACAAACCACGCAGGCTCCAAGTACATTCATTGTTATTATTTGGAGCTAGGAAAATAGGTTCTACTCTACAAGAGGTTTCTTTATATCAGCAATAGTTTCTCTACAAGAGACGGATGAGAGGAGAGATGTCCCTATACTGAGGGTAATGGTTTGGAATAAATTGGTGTATAGGTTGAAATTGGGATTTAATTTTATTCCAAGACCATTCAAAAGCAAAAAATGTAAAAGTAATACAGGCTGATCTTTACACTAGGAGGATTTTTTTTCTCAGCCTCATTCCACCCTAAATCATATACTTACAAAAGACAAAGAACTGGTATTGATAAAATAAAATTAACTGATCAATTCAATTAGCTTATGATATGCCATTTAAGTTTACAAACCAGCCATTTCTAGATCCTGCTGTGTCCACTCCAAAAGACACAGACAAACAGTTAAACTGAGGTTACATATCTGAGAAGAAAGTATCCTGTAATTTCATGAGGGTTACTACTGCAGGTGTTTTGAATACCTAAACTTAGCACCTTGGGCACTATTAAACGGTAAAGTAGCGCCACATTCATCCAGGCTGGTGTATTCATCTGTTTGTTTCACACAATCTTGATTTAGCTCATCATGATCAAGCAGATTCACGTAAAACGGAAAAGCCTCTTCTGACTCTTGATATGTATAGTCTATGGTGGTGTCCGACACATGAAGAGGCTTTACTTTAAGCATTTATTCTACGCGCGTTGCAGTCTTGAACCGGGACTGTAACCACATCAGACCTTCCTTGCACACTTCCTCCGCACACAGCACTTTGGCATCCCCCTGTCTCTACAGAAATCGTACGGTCTATAGTTAATCGGTTCTTTTCAATACCTGTCAGTTTGTTTTGCATAAAGCAACTTTCTCACACATCACTGTACAAAGGCAACCCACCCACGCAACTATGAGCCTCACTCTTTCGTTTAACATTTAAAAAGGCATGAGGATATTTCTGAAAGATGAAATGCCGAATGCTGGTTGGCTAGGTAGAATCCCTCCCGATTCTAGCAGGCGTGGCTATGTGAATGGCGAGTGCATGCATCGAGGCTCTTGGGGGGCCTGTTGGCTGCACGTCTTGTATTTTGAAATGCCACCGATGCCAACTGCTCCTTTCTAAATAAAAAAAAAAAAAAAAAAAAGAAAAAAAAGGAGGCTGCCGGTCTGCCACCTGATAAATACTCTGTAATGCTGCAACAGCTACAAAAGTCCATTCTTGTTTAGTGCAAAAACAACATTGTCAAATGTTTGAGTTTTATCTCCAGGAAAAGCAATGCCATTGTAATCTACTATTTTAAGGTGCTGGTAAAGTTAATGTAAAACACGAAGAAGCAGTAACAACAAGTACAAAGCCGCCTCCTTAAAAGCCACCTTGATGTAAACCATCATCATTTAGGACACGTGTTTACTTCCCTACTTCCCATATGTCAGGCTTTTTTTGAGGACATTTCCAAACACATACCCAACAACAGGGCTCCAAACGGACATCAGTCTCCATAAAACACAGTGGAAAAATTCATTTGCTCTGATGAAGTCACCCTCGTACTTCAAAGTATCAATGCATGATCACATACAATTAAAAATGAAATAACGTTCTGTTGTGAAATGTAACTGATTAAAAAGGCCTTGGTGAAGTGCATTCCTTAAAAAAAATCTGTTCATGTGGATTCAATTTATTCTCTTTTAATTTGCAAGTAACTTGAACAGCATTACTAACAGCACCAATAGAGCAAATTTACAATTTCTCCAAATCAAGGACACGCACTGATCATACCTGTGGGCTTTGCATTTGTTGTTATACTTCTCAGGTGTCAAAAAAAAAGAAAAGTCTGTTATTTTTACTGGTGCATAGAATAAAAAGGAAAGAAAGAAGGGAAAGCTGTGTCTGAATACAAACACACTTCAAGAATTTGGTCGTACAGCTCAACGCTCAAAACCACTACTAAAAAACAAAAAACAAACACATTCTCTCGTATCAATTTGAGTAAAATTACGAAAAAAAGCAAAAATCACACAACTACAAAGCGCGTTCACCATCGTGCACACCAAGCGTTTAAAACCCCTACTGTCAATGCAAGACTCAAACAATGCCAATTAGATAGATAGCAGGGGTAATTATACAGAAATGGCCAGCAGTGTGATGTTACCATAACACTTAAACAGGTAACAAGAGGTAGAACACACGGCCATTTCCATACAATTACACCAGTGTGACGCAATATGGCCGAGCCTCCTGCTTAGATTGAGGAACACACATCTATAGAAGTCATACCAACGTTCTGCTATCAAAAGTGCATCCAAATTTACATGTTGTGAGACCAGCACCGATAAGAACAATATTGACATCATAACAGTAAATATCAAGTACATGATTTTCAGAATGCCCCACAAACACAGTCAGTCGGATTTCTAGTTGCTTTACAGGTAATGAGTAAAAAGGGTAACACAGAGAGGTCGTCAAAGGGAGAGAAAAGATCCTCAAGGTGATGAAGCATCTTTTTAACATACAAGTAAAAAGCCTTGTTGACCAGTCCAGTGAGGAATTAAGGTGGTTTACAGTGAAAACTTCTAGCACCTAGAATCAAGATGTCCTTTTGTGCTTCCATGTCTTTTGAATATTAATCATGTAAAAGTTTGTAATCTTGTTTGGCTAAGAAAGATTGTGTGTTTACAAAGGATACACCCAATTTTCAGGCTATAAAATCTACAATGTTACAAATGACCACATAAATACTTCATCCTGTTAGAAAGGCATGAAGATGCTGATAAGCACTAAGAAACGCTACTAAATGCAACATGCTAAAAAAAATAACAATAACAAAAAAAGCCCTGATTATCTACCTCTATAAATGACCCAAATTCATGTGAGATACCCCCACTGCTAAATCTCTTGATTAAAAATGATGCATAGTTAGAAAATGACTACTCGCCTCCAATCAAGACTATGAGAACATTCGCCAGCTTAACTTGGTAGTAAAACTTAGTGGGATGTTAGGAAATGTCTAAAATTATTAGTAAGACTGTTAACAGTCTTAGAAGGCAAGAGAATATTTGCATTTAAAATCTGTATACAAATAGACAGTGTTAATTTAGACTACATGTGGGCCAGTCTTTTAAAAAAATCTCTACAACATTTTCAGCAGCCTCCACTGAAAGCTTATTCAAAATATACCTTATTACCAACATTACTATATAGTATAAAGACTCACAAAAAGTCATTTGCATAAAACCCAAGCTTTTGTGCGACGACTGCTCCCAATTCCTGGAGCAAAATGCTAGATTTGTTTGTTTTTAAGGGAATTTCAATCAGTTAAACTCTAAAATGTTGCAGCTTTCACTCCACTGTACCGAATGCCTGGATATCGAGACGCCACACAAATATCCCGCTCTGACAAAGACACTGCAGAAAACACTATCCTGCTGCTATATACATTAAAACATAGAAGGGTTAATGTGTATAAAGGAAGAAATAAACAGGTATCAAAGCCTAAATGTCTAAAACATGAGTCAGCTACATGCATATTCATTACAAAAATGATTGAAATTAAATTAGACTAAAAAACTGAAGGGGAAAAAAAAGATTTCATCAATTTCCCCTCTATGTTGATTTCTACATCATGTGTCTTTTATCAACACGGCTCAGAGTACATTAGAAAGATGTCCTTGTTGGGAACCAGTCCCACTATTTCTCGGCATGGGAATTAGGTTAATGGTGCAACTCTTTCAGTTCAGACTAACCAGAGAGGCAGAGAAGGATAAAATTGCTGTTCTTTCAATCTCTATTTGAACATTAGAAGCCCTCATCAAGAATAAACTAAGTGTTGGTTCAAGGGTTGATAACAAATCTGATGCAAAGAATCCATTAGTGAGCTGTCACCAGATTTGGCATAAAATGGTCATCAGTGTCAATCAAGGACAAATACTGAAAACCCAGCAGATGTGGGCCTAATAACTCATAGTTTTACACAGAAATGACAACAGAAAGGTGGTCTCAAATGGCACTTCTCATCACATAGTGCCCTATGTGAAAAATCACACGCAACCCTCAATATATTAAGTACTTTTGTCCTGATTGAAGTACCCATTCTGGTCAGTGCACTTTGCTTTGATTGGCTGATAAATAATGTTTGTCAGAGGAGCAAATCTTTAGGCATATAAACAGTGAACATCATCTTTTGATGAATTTGATCCTTCTCCCTACAAGCACCAAGACCCTGAAAAACGATAGAAACAGGAGGACGAGGGTGAACAGCTTCTTCTAAATTATAAATCACCCCAATGTATAATGATACTGCCCACTAGTTTAGAAATGGTTGATTTCTTCTATCAGTGTACGAACTTTTCCTTTTCCTTTCATACTTTGCAACATATTTCCCTACAACAAATACAAACACACACTAATGCACAACATGTAAGTAAAACCTCTTCCAGCTTAAACCCCAAGAAAGAGGGATTCTTTTGCATCTTACAGTCTAATAGCTGGCTTGGTTCGGGTGGGTCAGGGGCTGAAGTACAATTGTAGACATATAGGTAACTGACAGGTCTGTTAGGTAGGGAGATCACGATGTGAAACCACTGTGATGCTATCTACAGCTGACAGTGAGACAGCGAGGGGTAGTGTGTTTCATCAGTGGGGTCTCACCCACCCCAACCTGGGGTTTGTGTGCTCTCAGGCAAAGTACATGGTCCGCAGGGTGTCCTGGTGGATCTGAACGGCCTTGGCCAAGGCCTGTTGGTCACGCCCGTTACTCTGGCCTGATGTATGACTGCCCTCGGCACTGAAACGGCAACAATACAAGATTTGTAAAAACTGTCATGGACCTTTGAAATTACTGCAGCAGAAAATTGCAGCGAGTCCTTACCTGTCATGCTCTTTGTCCACCAAGTGATAGCGAGCCCGGAAAGCCACCAAATGGGCGTAGTAAGCTGGTGCTGGGATGGAAACTGACCGGGTACAGCGCACATAGGTGTGGCATAGCTGGTAGGTCAGGACCTGCAGTTCATCTGAAGAGAAGTGGTTGTCGTCCCAGAGCACGTGGTAATGAGACGGCCTGCTGGTACCCTGCAATGAATGATAATGGATGACAGGTGTTGCTTTTGTGTCCACGAGGGGAAAAATGACTTGCACCATCATCAGTCTTCTGTTATTAGCCAATCTGGCTGATGATCCATTTGTTTTTTCATGCATACTCAAAATCCATTAAATCTGGCAACACATTTGACTTCCTTTTTCAAAAAACCTCACAGGACCATTACCACTTTAACCTGTAAGTTCAATTACAGTTGATCCTAATTCAGTTCTTACCTGAATGCCAGCGTGACTGCAAAGGTAGAAGTCAAATTCTGAAGGGTGAGTGATTTTGGTGTCCACTGTGGTGCCTGCAGGAATGTTACCACTCTTCCCAACCTGCAAAAATCAACACAATAATGTTTTAGTGCGTTAGGATGGTTTTGTTATGTTTGGATTAAACAAATAACTTATTTTTGTGAGAAGTAAAGGGAATACATCGAATTTTGACCAATACACAACTTTTTTTTAAACGTAAAGTGATTATCAAGTAGGGGTTTATATGCTAGTCTCACCAAATTACTTATGATTACCTAATGTCCCTAATTTAGAGGTGATGCGCAAGAGAGCAGACCAACACCTGTAGCAGCTGGCTTGATGCCATCTGTGCATGACTATAGCTTTGGTAACACGCCAAACATCTTTACCTACTGCTGATTCACCTTTAGAAGGTGACCTCAAATAAGTATAAAAACTAGGGATGCACGGATCCACGTTTTTTCACTTCCGATACCTGAATTTGGATATCGGCCGATACCGATACTATTCCGATACCAGAGCTGTTTGCGCTTTAATATTATTATTATCATTATTGTTGATTTTATATGAGACTGAAATAAACTCCTCTCAACAGGCAAGTATGATATGTACGTATGTATGCATGTATGTCCCAAAAGGCAACTTGAGGTAAGTATAAGGTCAGAAAAGGAAGTCAGAAAAACAGGAAATCCTGTTAACAGGAAAAATCCCATTCTGAAAACAAATATGCAACTGTAAGGGTTTCAAATTTATTGTCATGTCAATATTTATTAAATTCCCAAAATGTCAAATATTTGAGTCTTATAAGTAAGTAAATATAAGAAAAGTGTGTAAACATCTTACACACACACACACACACACACACACTATCAATAATGCAGTGTGCATCTGAACACCACAAGCACTGGCTCTTGTAGCATCAACAAATCAAGGTTTTAAAATGTCAATTATCTGAAATATAAGAAAAGTGCAATAACTGTAAACATCTTGCACACACACACACACACCACACACCACACACCCACACACACACACACACACACACACACACACACACACACACGGTAATCCCTTTAGCTTCAACGTTGTCTGCCTGGAGTTTACCTTGTTTTTGGAATGACTCCACAAGTGATTCCTGACAGCTCGCCTAAAACATCCTCGTGCTGTTTCGCGTGTTGCTTTTTAAATGTTTGATTGCGTTCGTAGTGTTGTACAACGCGAGGGAGCTTCCGCGTCTCTGAATTACGGCTTTGCAAACATTGCATTTTGCTGTCTTGCTCTGCGGTGTTTCCAGTGTAAAGTATTTCCACACAGCGGACATGTTGCTAGCCAACACAATGCTGCTCCATGCTATCCTGCTAGCTGGCTGCAAACTGAATGGATTTCCTGAGCGGGGGCGTGTCTCATAACTCTGTCTCTCATTGAGCCGCGCCTCCGTTCAGGAAATCCATTCCACAGTTTGCAGCCAGCTAGCAAACTGGCCGGCAGGAATCACCTGTGGAGTCATTTCAGCAGACAACGTTAAAGCGCACACATGGCTCATGGATGTCGGAAATCTGCGCAGGTTGGATCGGGAAATTCCGATATGAGAATTACGCTCGTATCGGTCCCGATACCGATACTGGATCGGATCGGCCCCATCCCTAATGAAAACATTTTGGTCTGTAACAAAAAACTGACCAAATTTCCCACCCCTACTGAAGACAGAATACTGACCCTCTCGTTTCTGTCCATACAGAAGAGTCTTGTGTGGTGTCTCTTCTGCACCACCACAAAGGTGATACCAGGCTGGTAGTCCTTCTCTAGTTTTATGCAGGCCTCACGGATCGCCAGCAGCTCATGCTGAAGGACCTGCATGCATTCAAGTCAGAAGATATTACAGATTAACAGGTGAAATGTTTTTGACAAAAATAAAATCAGCTAAATTCAACATGTACAAAATGTACACTGCCACAAACACAAATTTATTTCACAGATTATTATGCATCATCACCTGGTTGAATTGGCCCTCAGAGATACCATCGCGGTAGTAGATGATTCTGGTGGGCTTGAAGCGGGTGGACTTGTAGAACTGGATGAGCAGCTCCCTCACCATGGTGGCCAGGTCCTGAATGATGTCCTGACGGTGCTGCTGCACCCGAACTGTGGCACAGTATCTGCTGGGATGGGCATCCATACTACCAACAACCTGAAAAGCATTGAGTACCAAATTAGAAGATCAACTTTTTAATGACATATAATGCAACATTAAAAGTGAAAGAGTGGACAAAAAAAATATAAGAGCTTTTTATCGGTCTTGTCTTTTCACGTCTTGTGTTCCTTTTTTACATCTTTTCCAGCAGACAGCGGCAACATTAAAGTTTCTCCAAGTCTCAGTAACTTTGTTGCAGCTTTGTACTAAGTAGGTAGCATATAGTGGCTTTTTTGGAGGAAATAGTTGCCAACAAGGGTTTTTGGGAGCAGCTGAGAGTCAGCCATAGAATAGATGTACCAACCATAAAACCAAAACAATGAGTTGAAAGAAGCTTAAGAGGGGCACAGATGGTTGGTCATTCTGGAACGTACATTACACCCCATTTAAGTATTTTGTGTAGGGTAGATGTTCATGTTGTGTGGTGTAACGTTACTTACAGCAGCGATGGAAGGCTTTTTTCCATCCCCTGCAGGTGGATGAGTCACATCTGCACCAAGAAATATCACTGGCTGCTGGAACACTAACGGCCTGGAGTGCAGACACAGGTGAAATTCAGCACAAAAAAATGCCATTTGCAGTTTTGGATAACAGTTGATGGGGGTCACATTTCAAAGATATTAATTTCATTATCAGTATCTTCACTAACCTGCCCTGCGGTAGGAGAATGTTATTGACACCGCCCAGCTTCACATTGATCTTCAGACAGAGGTTGGAGAGGGTCTGAGGTGTTGTCTTTTGAACATTCTTTACCTGCACACACTGCGTGGCCATGCCAAGTACTGTGTCCCCCACACGTTTCACCTCAGCTACAATACACATCAGGACAATAAGGAAATATAAATTAGTTAAACACGATCCCGTACGGTACTGATGCTTTGGACATGTACACAGATACACTGACCAACTGCAGCTATTGGGAATTGGAGGCATGGTTTGGTCCACCACACTGGCAACCAAAGGTGTACTTTAAAAGACACTCTAAAGCGGAGTTACTCTTTTAATTTGGTTATGTACGAGTGGGATGGGGTTACTGATGTTGAAATGACAGAGTGAGTTGGGAAGCAAATGGGAGATTGGCTGGGAAGGACCACAGACAGAATGTAGCTTTATTTGGCTCGTACTTCCTTGTGGTCATTTCCTAAAGCAGAAATAGAAGCAGTAAAATTTGCTCAACAGGCAGTGAAGCAGCAGCCCAACTGCACGCTCTCTAATCACTAGGGATGTCCCGATCAAGGTTTTTTAGCCCAATCCAAGTCATTTATATCCAATAGTTGTATTTTTTAAGATCATAAAGTGCATATTGCACCTGTATACGCTTGACAAATAAATAGCTTTCCATTGCATTAAGAAACAAAATGCCTGTATCGAAGCTGTTCCTTAATGTTTTTTTTGTTTTTGTTGTTGTTTTAACACAATGAAGGATAAAATAAAAAAAACCCTCTGTAATCTTTTTGCCTTTTTGCTGTCTGGAGGTTCTCTCTCCAGGGTAACTGACAGGTCTTTTAGGTAGGGAGATCATGCTGTGAAACCACAGCCCTGCCCACGATGAAACTCTGCAGCGGGCAGGGCTGCATGTGTACACACACACACACACACACACACACAGACACAGACACAGACACACACACACACAGCTCAGAGTGGAGAAAAGAAACGGTGAGAGTTGACGATGGCTGCACCGTATGTGGCAGCTGACATAAAACAAAAGATTGGATCAATAAAGCTCAACAAAGCTGATACTAATCATTGAGATCGGATCGGGAAATTCCTACTTGTCACAAATCCTCACTGATTTGGAGACATGTTAGTTTTAAGCAATGCCTTGCCACGGCAAGACATTTAACGTTTAACATGTCAATCAGCATGACACTTTTGTTTTAACAACAAAAACTTGTCCAACCTAATTGCATGCTGTTGTGTCATTATTTAGTCAAATTTTTGTCTTTAAGTAGACACACTGATTTCATGCGGAGGAAGGTCGATCTAATGTCCCAAAATAGATCAATATAAATCATGTTCCTCATTAAATGACACAAAAACAAGGTACTGTATGAGTGGATCCCTCACCGTAGACAGGCGTCTTCCCTGGTAGGATGACGACCACCAGCTGGAGGCCCTGGTAGGTGTACTTGAGGTGCCGGAACATGGGCTCCACGCTGTCTGCTCCCTGGGCGTACTTACAGAAGCAAGGCTGACCCTGGATGGGCATCCCTGCATCCCTAGAGATCTTCCTCAGCTGATCTGTGAATGCTCTGAGACAAAAGAGGAACTTGTTTACTCTTCGGTTGCAAAAGAAAGTAATGGCTGAGAGGCAAACATCAAAGCAAAATTAAGTCCAGCAGTAAAAAGCAAAACTTATGTAGAACAACAACTATTGCCCCGAGTTACCTTGTTTATCTTGACATGAGTGTTTAAAAGTAAATTATAAATTCAACTACTTCTTCTTTTAACTATATAATACTGTAAACGGAAAATTAAGAAAATTATGTTTATGCTGAACCACAATTTATCTAAAAAGAAAATCTTGAAAGCCAGTTACAATGCAACTTTTGAAGGCATACTATTCAGGATTTGTTAGTTGCTGTTTGTAAATGCACCATTTTGGCCCATCTTCCTAGCTCAAGTGAGCTAGAGAGAATATCTTTGATTGAGCTACATAGAGAATGAATGAAGAGACGGATGAAAATTAGCGAGGACGTGAGAAAGTGGCTGCTTCCCTGCAGGAAGGTGCCACATTTGTTTGTTTGTTTAATTGTATTTTTTTTCTAAATATCTGGGCTAAGAGTGACAGGAAAGAGGGGAGAAAGAGGGGATAATATGCAACAAAGGGCCACAGGTCACTGCAGCAAGGACTCAGCCTTTGTACACTGGGTGCCAGCTCTACCAGGTGAGTTTTTATGAATGCAGCTGATGCGCAGCTTCATCCAGTCTGCCCTCAATCAAACAGGCAGACACAGAGACCTGCAGCCTGTTATGCATCCATGACACAGACAGAGAGCAGAGGAGAGAGACAGACTTTTTATAGAGTCCTGACCTTAACCTGGACGCTGTCCAAAGGTTAACGCCTAGAAACATCCTGCACACAACAAAATAAGAAATCACAGCCAAAAAAAAGGCAGTCTCTGCAGATACAGAATTTGTTTGTGAAAATCCTGCATAGTATGTCTTTAAGTCTCGCAAGTGTAAGACTTCGCATCAAACAATGACACAAATGAAAATGACAAAAACCTAAGAAAGGCAATGCAAATGAATAGCACAGCTGTAAATACTCAAAGTGCACTCCTACGCCCCTGTAGAGCTAAAATACCTCAGTCCTCAGGGGGGCAATACTGCGAAACACTCGGGAAACTGGGCTGTCACGGCAGTTGTGAAAGACCCAACAGAGGCACAAATCAAATAAGACAGCTTTGTGCCATCTGTCTGACATTTGAAACTCCAGCTCACATCTCAGTGTATCCTTGTGTTTGTTTACTTATATGGAGTGTATTTCAGGCTTTAAGGCCAGGACACACCAACCTGACAGCCGACCGCCGGCAGAAAAGCATTCAGTCAAAAAAGTGCCTCCAAACACACCAAACCGACGCCGACTGGAGTGTACATTCTGCGCGTGCACAAGGCGTAATACGTCCCCATAAAAAAAATACGATGGCTAATAAGAACAAGATACTGGTGTTGGCGTAGTATGTTTACCATCGTCACTTCCAGTTTTCTCGTGCACTCACTGATTCGCTAGTCAAGGGCTAGCACTCCACCAATCAGATTGGTCATTGAGGCCGATGGCCACTGGTTGACATGTCGAATCGACCAAAATGAACGTCGACTGACGATGGCACGGGACACACCGAACCGACTCGAGTCACCGACCTAGCCCGACTGTCCGACGGCCGATAATCGGGTTGGTGTGTCCTGGCCTTTATGATATGCTCACAACTTTTCACCACCAACCCCTTAACCAAGGGCTGCCTACCATCAAACAACCGGCACATGTTCATAATGACATGAAATACGTATATGCTGGAGCACTTCACTTACTTGAGCAGGAGTTCAGTGCACTGCCTCTGTGGCGCAAAACAGGCGATGGCCCACACCTTGATCTCAATGCCAGTGTGGAACTGCTTGTTCCTCATGTCCCAAACTCCCTGAATTGGTGTGGCTATTGCTTTGTTCTGCAAATTGCAATGAAAACAGACCTATTAGTTGCAGTGACTGTACACAAGATGAAGTTATTCCAATAAATCTCAATACCAATAACTGAATAGTGTTGCTACATGCATGAAAAGTACTTTGCAAACATTAAAATAACTGGTGATCAACATACCCTGCCTCCGTATAGAATGGAAGGTGCCTGTAGAACACGGCCATTCACTTCTGTCATCTCATCCCTCACCATCACTCCAAATTCACGAACATAGGGGTCAGTATTGAAGTTGGCACTCCTCATCTGAAAAATTAAACAAAAAACACAGCAGTTGGATTAGATGCTAATATTTCATTTAAGTTAAGATTTCCTTTGTTTAAATGTTTCTTCAAATGTATACATGATATTAGACAAATGTAACAACCAGCCAATTATAACAAACACCATGAATTCTCTATCCCAGTAGCCAATCAGCAAACACCACAAAGCCTGTGCTTGGGTGTCAAACTGAAAACTTTTTCTTATCTCATCTAAACAGTCAACTTAAGCCAAGTCAAGAAACAGGCCATGGAGCCACCACAATTTCTGTTAAAGTCTCCTTTCTTCTGCTGCTACCCTGTTTTTTTTTTTTTAAATCCAGAGTCCTGAGTGATTATTGGACCGTATGCTACTGTGACACGACTGTCAACAACTGGTTGGTAAGACCATTTGTTGGCAGGAGTGGCTGGCATGTGTGCATGTTCCAAAGTTCTCTGCTGTCGGGAGTCATGTTTCAGGGGCCGGCTACAATCATTGATGTTACAGGCTGCTGTTTTTTTTTTTTTTTTTTTTGTAGTTTCTAGCTTTGGCCTGATTGGGGCAGTGAGCTCTTGAGTTCACCATCTTGACCTGGTTTGCTACTGGCCTCAGACGGGACAAGAATTACTGGTGAATCCTGGAATGTAGCAGTTTGGCAGGAACATTGTAAACCATTTTACTACCGTCTCACGTTATTGCAGAAATAGTGTCAAAACAACTGATTTGCATTCAGTTATTATTTATCTTACAATGACTTACCAATTTACTAATCTCGTCCTGACGGTCTGGTGCCGATCGGGCAGTGGCACGGATCATAGTGGAGGTCTGATTGTCCGTCAGCTTTTTGATGCAGCGCTGCCCTGCCACTATGTTACACACCTGGAGCAGACACACAAGAAACAAAAACCGGTTCAGAGGACAATCAATAGTGAATCGGGTAACTTTTCAAAAGCAAATGAGTACGCAGGGTTGGTGATACTTACCTCTAGAGGGAGGTAGGTGTGCTTCTGCTCCTGTCCCACCTGTAGACAAGGGAGGTGGGGGTATCTCAGGATGAGCTTGTACTTGTCTTTGAAGTACTGTGCTACTGTGCATTCAATAGTTTGGCCATTCTCCTGCTGCAGGGGGAACCTGAGGGAAGCACACACCAGAAAAGTAAGAGGAAGAAAAATACAGTCTTGTCAGATTTCACACAATCTGCAATGATAATTTTTATGTAACAACTCTTTTTTTTAAATTGTTGCTGGACTGCAGATGATGTGCATCAGCAACAATGCAACTAACAATGATAGAACATGAACAAAGATGAGATAACAGAGGGTTCTTACGTTTGGTGGCTGGCTGGTCTTCTGGTCACATTGCACACTCTGTACTTCCTCTTCATCTGCCCACAGTGAGTGATCTCCACCTTCAGGCCTGGATGGAGGAATTACAATAAAAAGGATAACAGAATTTAAAATATACCCAGAAACATGACTAAAAAATGAATCAAGTATAAAAATGTTATTATAAATAGGTAGTAACTGAATCAAATCTTTACATTCCCATCCTTATTAAAAATAAATTTCCAAAGACATAATTCAAAATAAAAACATGTCTCATTGACAAATTAAAACTTCAATGGCCTCTACTAAGTGAGCTTTACTTACCTTTGATTTCCTTTGTAAATTTCACTCGTTGAGAGTCTGTTAAGGGCTTCTGTTGTTCTTCAATGCTTTTGAAATCCAAGACCTCACACATGAACTCAATTACAGGCTGGGCTTTGTAGAATGCGGTGGCCGAAACTGCAAACAAAACAACCACACAGATGAGATTCACAGAAACAACTTTACTTCATACAACTTGTGCACAATCAGTGGGAAAATTACCATCGATGTTGAGCATCATCTTCCAAAGGGAAGGCCTGACAGACTGGTGGAAGCCAAACCACACTTCTCTGCCACCTCCAAGTGGGTTAGAACATCCCTCTGAAGGAGTGAAGAAAGAGCGGCCCACTGGGGTATACCTGTAACAGGACAGTCACTCATGAAAACCGGATTAACATGTTTCTGAGAAACAGAAGCTATTTAAAGAACTGGTTAAAAGAAAGACGCTTAATAAAGAAAATGAAATAAAAAGAGATCTGTGATATAGGGAATGTAAAGATGCTCTGGATGATTACAGAATCAGAAGGGCCCTTTTGACAGTTCCACCTTACAGAGTATTCAGCATGACAAATTGCCTATTTTATATAAGTTTCAAGTTGCTACAAGCTGACTGTCACACCTTATTAAAACAAATGCAACCCAATCGCTGCCTGGAATAAAAAAAAACAAAACAGGTTGCACAACACTTTTCTATCATGCTATTTTTATTCCTTTCAACTGGACAATTACTCATATTGTGTGACCAGATGTGCTAGAAACCATAACCTTTAAAGAAAATATAACAACCTATACATGAATTAATGTTCCAAAAAAAAAACCCACCTCATAGAGGGCAAGTGTCTCATGACCACATCCAAGGCTTGGACGGTCTCAAAGGGGACGCTGGGTAACCGTCCTGCTAGTGCCTCGTGCAGAGCTTGCAGGCTAACGCAAGACACCCACTTGATGGATACTTTGAAGCTGCGGTCTTTGCCTTCACCAGGAATGGTTACTTCAAGCTCCACCTGTGTGGTAGATGGGCAACACAAGAAAAAGACAGGCAATTGTTGTGATAGTTTTGACATTTTTAAAAAAATATTTAGACAATTTCTCCACAAAGGGAGATTTTATTGTTGCAGGTTGTTCTGAAAAAATACATACTTTGTCTCTGCCTATGGGCAAGGGCATGGCAGTGTAGAGATTCTTCCTCCCGTCATACACTGGCTTTCGATCCCCAAAGATTTGTGTTTTAAAGTGCTGGACCATGTGCTCCACGATTTCACTGAGAACCAAATGAAACCAATTACCATAACGCCCTGGACATTACAACAGCTGATCTACCACGTGCCATGGGGTGCTGATGGAGTATACACATGCACATACCGATTGACCCTCCTGGGGCATTTCTCAGGCTTGATGTCGATGTCGTAATGGTAGACCTCCAGTTTGGGGATTTCCATCTCGAAGAAGTTGGCCTGGAGCTTGATTGTCCTGCCCATGGTGCCGAAGTCCGGCCGCGATGGTGGCTTGAACACATATTCTGGCACTGGGGAAGATGGGGGTTCTAAAACAAGTGGGTCAAATGAAGGAAAGTAACAAGGGCATTATTAGATCAGAATACACAAACATTAGAAATTTCCCATGATCTTAAGTCCTGATAAGCATTTTTCACTAGATAGATAAAATGCACATTCACATATATAACTGGACGGTGTGTGTTTCTCAACTGATCATAATTAAACATTTCTGATGTTAACACAAGACATCAGAAAACATTAAAAGAATACATCTAAATTTAGAGATGTAGAAAATCTTCTTTTTAACGGTTACTGTTAGCAAAAATGATCTAGGACATGTCTTATGTGACGCGTCTCAACAAGTTCGGCACAACCTGTTCTGCCATGTCAATTAGTCGGCCACCTACATGTGGTAGGTCATCATAATTATTGATGATGAGCCAAATTTAGACATGATCTATTGAACACGTGCCATTTTGGTTTACCACAAGCTATAATGTTGTTTATAAAAGGCAATCGTCATCACAGATTTTATTGGCAGAATACACACACATATATGGAGGATTTCCTTTTTCTTAAATCTGAGATGAGACATGAGCACACAGTTACAGAGTCATGTTTCCTTTTACATCTGCAGCACCTAGCTCTCATAGTCGTTCACACAGGAAATATTAAGATGCAACGAGTCAAGTCATCATCCAACGCCAACACTTGGTTCACTGATTGTTTTGGCTTCCAGCTGACATACTCACTTGTTTCGTTGAATATATATATATTTCAAATTAATATCTTCCAATAAGTATTGAGCTTGTGTGTTGGCTGGCGTTGACAGGGTAGTAAAACTCAAACTGTCAGCTATTGATAAGCTATTTGAGTATTTGGCCCAACCAATCTGTTATTCTTGTACCCTGAAAGATTTTTTTAAGGTGTCCTCCCTTCTTTGTATTATCCTGGAGAAGATGCACCAAGCTTTAATCATTGGTGGGCATATGGAACCAAGACGCCCCATATCTGCTACTTCAGATATTACAGTGAGACTGTCAGAGCACACCTCCATTCCCCTCAGTGCCTTATCTTTGTGCGACAGCTCTGTTAATTCAAACAGAATAACACCCATAAAACCTAGCAATATATGGTGGGTACCGTTGAATAACCTTTGGTGTGTAAAAGCGCACTGCCATTCAGCACAAAATGAGGTGCATTTAGAGGAAATTGACTATCTAGAATGACATCGTCTAACGCCAAATCATCTGTGTCCTATTTCCTGGACAATTTCATTATTCAGTCAGAAGGTTAAATCGTACTTCAGATGAGTACATACTGTGATGCTTGAACGCCTTGAAGGATGTAAAAAAAAAAAAAGCATAATTTTGTGATTTACACTGGTCCAATGCTGGGACCAGTTTAAGGCTTTAAAGGCCAAATACGTGAAAATCTTACCAGAGCTTGCTGACCCAGAGGAACGGGGTCCCTCAAGCATCTCAGAAGCTACATAGGACAAAAATGACGTGTTATGAATGCTCAACAGTCCATTTGATCTGACACACATACCGATAGTGGTGAAAATGCACATGTGAGTCAATTAACACAGGATAGATAAATCGAGGTTTACTGCTTAACAGGTTAACAAGTGGCAAGAGGAGGCTAAGTACAGAGTGCTTCTCATCTTTACGTGTATATTTCCATTGCAAACACAGACTTCAGAACGTCTTGCTCCCTTATCGCTTCCACAACGCCATCGTCCACAATCAAGGACAACTTTTTCAAAACTCTTATCAATGTGCACACAGAAGCTGGCAATCTATCTCTGCTGAAGCCACCCAGTCTCCTGGAAATGGCCTAATGCTACAGTCAATATATATTTTACTAGTACAAATACACAGAGATGTCTCCTGCAACACAGAAACCAAACCCCTTAAACATTTACTACATTTTTAGAGAAATACAATACAGCTGTGCTGTTGTTTGTCTGTTGTTCAGGAAAGAAAAAGCTACTGACAGAGAGAAAACCACATATGAACAACAAACGCTACAATATCCTAACATAATTACTCCACTTGCCAAATGAGTCAACTGTTATACAGAAACTGCTTCAGTCAAACTTCATATTATCGCTTGAACTTTAAAACAGTTAATGTCTTTAGGTCCATGTTACATTGACAGGGCGATCAGATGGCGTCGGGGAATCTATTTTGTGGACCAGAACGATGTAACATAAGAACTTTAAAGTTGGTCCCTGCTAGCTAACCCAACCAAAGCCAAGCTGGGTGATGATGAGATTAGATAGCATGGTCGGCCGCTAAATATTGCTCTAACTCTGTACTTGGTGTTCATCTGCGAAGCCCTCAAAACAATGATCTGTGTTTATAATTGCGTTATGTATTACGAAAACATACGTCAATCGATCCCGTTTGGTTAAATTACATTGGGAGGCTAACTAACAACAAGTTCGGGAACGAGTTAGCGTTGAAGCTAACTTGGCTAACAGCAGCTTCTTGTTGTTGCACGCTAGCTAAGCTTGCCCCTACTACTAATGCCTCCACTTAAGACTGGGACGACATGTTCCTGGTCAAAGGATTTGTTGAGTTTTATAATAACTAGCTACACGAAACAGGAATCGAGTCTACGTTTCAGCAATGGCTCGATGCAACGGTGCAACAACAACAGAAAAAACAAAACCGCTGCAACTACTGTGTTCATTTTTGCTAGCTGCATCACTTAGCCGATGCTAACGTTAGCAGCACCACTTACCTCCAGCAGAGGAATACATTTTGTCGACTTTTTTAAGCGTGTGTCGTGGACGTACAGATACTCCACTTATTTTGGCCAAATTCCACCCAAACTCATACGTGGTCGAAAAGTATTTTTATCTACAAGAGCGATAGATGAAGCCCAGTTAGGAAATTAAGATATTTAGTTAGCCAAGTGGTAAATATTCGGAGTGTCTCATCCTCGGCACGGCCCCATCCCCCCAACACACAAAACGGGAGCCGAGAGAAAAGATAGCACGGAAAAGACCCATGCAGGGCAAGAGGGTTCCCTCCCGTATACTTCCGTCTTTGCTCGCTTCCCGTTAAGCAGCCAAAACCTTTATATTTCTTAATTTTTCTTATATTTTTATTTCACAAAAGACGTCTGTCTAGCTCACGAACGCAGTAGTGTTAACTGTTAAATGGCTAATATTCGTATTTACTGAACCATGACACTTCCGTGAAAGACAAAGAAGCAGCAGATACAATGCGTGTTGTTTCTTGTATACATTATTAACATTTTAGAAAACTAAATGTTCTGACACACTCGAGCTATTAACCTGCTAACCAGCGGTCCAAGTTTAGACTTTTGCACACGCGTGAAACGTTGAGATTTCGTATCTAAGGACCAACGGTGTACGTCGCTGTGAGTAGGAGGATAACTATCTTGTGTGATTGGACTCTTCAGTGATGTCAGACGCACGCTGCGCGCTCTCAGCCTTGACCCGAATTCAAATCGATTAACCAAAGCAACGGTACTTTTCTTAATTAAAAAACAATAATAATGTCCCTAAACCATGTGGCTAAAAATATTGGTTTAAAAAAATATGAACCACAAACTGAGTTAACTTAACTTTGTCAAGTAAGACAACACAGGAAGAAATTTGTGGCTTCGGTGAGGGGGGTGTATTTCCGGGGTACCAAAGTCAGGTAAGCTAATATGAAAATAAAACAACAATCTACCAACATTTAGACCTATTTGTTTGTTATTTATATGGGAAAAGCATAACAATGTGTACAGAATGTTCAACAAGGCAGAGTAGTTTGGTGAGATTACTTAAGTTAAAGCGGTAGAAAACACTGAAACCCAGACCATACACACACATATATATATATATATATATATATATATATATATATATATATATATATATATATATATATATATATATATATATATATTTAATTCTATCTAGTCCAGCATGGGGCTGTAAGATATTAACTAAGTTTCAGATAGAAAATGTATTTTTAAAGAAATCCAAGAAATATTGATCATCATCACTATTATAGTAGTAGTATATAGACTGGACAATAAAAGCATCAGGCTTGTTGTAACCTGAAGGTTGTCTGTGATAATGGGTTCACTGTATCCTGTGTATAATAATATGGTACTGGGTACAATGTGATACGAAATACAGTGCATCCAATGTATGATAATAAATGATACTTGGTATAATGTAGATCTAAATACAATGTATCCAGTATTTTTATTTCCACACACCTGTTGCCCTAAAGCGTTTTTGATCATTTGCTTTGTTCATTTATTTTGTATTTTAAAACGTTTTTTTCATTTAGTGGCCCAACACTCGTTTTAAAGATCATATTGATCATCCTTTTTTTTTTTTTAAATCCAAATATTTCTTTGTGGGTTTGCCACTAGGCTGCTCTTGGAGTGCAGCTCCTCTTTCCCCCCACTGGTCGGCGCTGTTGACCACTTAATGAGCGCAGTGCTGAGCGTTGATTTGAACGTTCTGCTGCAGGTTTTAAGATGAGATAAAATAAGATGAATCTTTAATTACCTCGATGGGGAACCTGGTCAATTTTGGCATTATCATTACATGCCAATCAAAGAGCAGCTGGAAGAATGTGAAACAACTCTTATCTGGGAGAGAAACTATTGTTGGTTATGGAATATCTTTTTAAAAATGGGATCTGTTGATTACCATATATTGTTTCTATTATATTGTATCTATTATATTGTTTATATTGGACATATACACTCTGATAGATGTAAGATTCTATTTTTTAGATATGGTCTATATAGAATAATGAAGCGTAGCGTCGACTGTTGAAATAGACAATAACCATTGAGCTCAATGGTAACCCTAAATAATTCTGATGTATTATTTCTCTTTAATGTGACATGATTGAAACATTTGATTTCATGCCTCATTTTGGGATTATTCGGCCCTAAAAAGTGAACAGACTAACGTTTTTATTAATAACGAATAATGACGACAATCGTATTAATCGAGGAGTCTTGCAGCAGGAGGCCTTTTTGGTAATGAGGTTTTGTCCCTCTAATTCATCCTTCTGAGAAACGTCGATTGGTCACACGGCCAACACTTTAATTGCTCCCATTGATTGATAGTATAAAAACACAACAATGCAGCCACATAGCCCGGGTGGTTTCCCCCTATAAGAAAGCTGGCTGAGTGAATTGGGTGTAGCTGTGTCTGTGTGCGCCTTGGCCAATGGAACCAGATCCTCCCTGCAGTGCGTAAGAGCGCGATTTAGGATTTAACCAAGTCTTTGCTGCGGGGCTGGCTGCAGTCTTCACCAGAGCCCGACGGCCCGAGAGCCTTTTAACAATGCCAGTGTAGTTTCCACACCACTTTGGAGTCAAGATTGCCTTTTTTTTGCTATAATTAAATATAAAACAAAACCCGCGTGTTCCTTCTCGAAGTATGACTGGAGTATTCGACCGGAGGATCTCGAGTGTGAAACCTGCAGATTTCCAGAGCTCCTTCCAACTCTCCACCATGCATCATCCGTCTCAGGAATCTCCTACTTTACCCGAGTCCACCGCCACGGATTCTGGCTATTACAGTCCGGCCGCTGGAGTCACTCACGGCTACTGCTCGCCCAGCTCCACCTCGTACGGGAAGCCGCTCAATGCCTACCAGTACCAGTACCCAGGTGTAAATGGATCCGCTGGAAATTACTCGACAAAATCCTACACTGATTACAGCTCGTACACGACCCCCGCCTACCACCAGTACGCTGGGACTTACAGCAGAGTGCAAGCCCAGCCGAGTCCACAAGGTAGGGGCCGCAGATTTTTTCCATTATAATAAGAGCAGATTGTTAGTTAGTAATCTCTTGAACGTATTTTGTAACCGAATAGTCGTATTTTCCTCGTGTTTTATTGTTACTTTGCATTTTCTTTCCCTGTCTGTTCCTCTCGCGTGGGAATCCAAACAAATTGCAATCTGAAGCTAAATGGATAAATGAGGAATTCATGCTTATTTAGGTTTATTTGAGACCACGCAATAAATGTGATTTTTAAGTATTATGCACGTGCTTTCCTTCTTTTTTTTGCCAGCCTAGAATTAATTTTGTTTATGAAAGCGGGTTTTCTTTAAAATTTAGAGACTTAGGGTTAGGGTTAACAACCCATTTTAAAAACCAGATATTTAAAAAGACAGCGCAGTTCGTGACGAGCAGAGATGCTTATTCTTGTTGGGATTATTTTTCACAGAAAAAGAGATAAGCGAGCCTGAGGTGAGGATGGTGAACGGCAAGCCGAAGAAAGTGCGGAAACCCCGGACGATCTACTCGAGCTTCCAGCTGGCCGCCCTGCAGAGGCGGTTTCAGAACACACAGTACCTGGCGCTGCCGGAGAGAGCCGAGCTGGCTGCCTCGTTGGGGCTCACGCAAACACAGGTGGGATGTTCGATCAAATGCATTTGTTGTTTTTAATGTGTGTCTCTTTTTTATTGTTTTTTTTTAAAGAAGAAAAAAAATAGTGTTTTCGGTAAGCCTGGTTTCTGCGCGCCTTTACGCACCGCGCCTGCTCCAAACCCCCATTGTTTCTGAGGTTATATATGAGATATTAATGGCTCTGCTTTTTCGCTCTTTTCCAGGTCAAAATCTGGTTCCAGAACAGGAGATCAAAATTGAAGAAGATCATGAAAAACGGCGAGCTTCCACCGGAGCACAGCCCCAGCTCCAGCGACCCCATGGCGTGCAACTCTCCACAGTCCCCGGCCGTTTGGGACACACAGGGCCCCTCCAGGCCGCACAGCCTACAGCCTCAGAGCATCAACACGACGGCTTCTAACTTTTTGGAAACCTCGGGGTCATGGTACACCTCAGCCGGCAGCTCCATGGCTTCCCACCTGCAGACCCCTAACTCGATACAGCACTCGTTGGCTCTTGGAGCGGGGACGTTATATTGAAAAAACCCTGTTGTTCATTTCAAATCCCTTTTTTTTTTTCCTTCTATGGGACTCGTGTTCAAATTTCAGAGGAATATGCAATGTATTTGATGACAGTCATAGAAGAAACGTGTAAAATGTGTAAATGTGTGCATGTAATTTATTGCATTTTGGAAGACTATTAAACGTTTAAATGGACAATGGAACTTTGACACCTCCGGCCTCACTGCAGTCTCTTGTTATTTTAACCCTCAGTTATTTACACGGAAAATCACGACAAAGACTCACACACATAAATAATGTTTGTGAGCCTCAGGTGACATTTCCCCCACCAGGTTGTAAATCACAGCTGCTCAGTATTGAGATGAACCTAGAAAATGTCGTAGCTTTCATTCGCCGTGACGCCCTCCATCCCTATTTATTCTGTGATTTTAATTTTTTATTTTTTATTAAAGACATTACGCAGACAAACTGTCTTGGAGATGGGGATGGAAAATGTCTGTCTTTTTTTGTGAGAAATGTGCCTTTATTTTCCTTTGTGGTCAGGCTCAGCTTAGTCTGCATTTGCGATAAAAGAATTGAAGTGAGAATTTGTGACTTTATTAAACAGACATTAAGCAAATAATGTGTTATTGTAAATACATTTCTGAGAAAACATGGCTACCATCGACCACGGTAAGCCTTAACCTACCACAATAATTACACTTGCCTTAATTGAATACCGGTATTTCTTGAACTGGATTGATTTGTTCTATAATATTACTGATGACATTTCTGCAGAATTCATTCAATCATTATAATACTCTTATAATATTTTATAGAGACTAATATCTTGTTTGTGGGAGTCATAGTGGCCTATTTCCCCTTATAGTATTTTTTAAAACACTCGGAGTTATGGTGATATCACAAGCTTTGTACCCTGATATTGTTATAATAATCCATATTTTTAAAATAACCCAAATTGTTTCAAATCCATGGTATATCCCCCTCCTATTTAATATTATAAAATCCTTGGATAACCCTTATTATTTTAATTATTATTATTGTTATTATTATTATATTCGCCGTTGCCTCTGATCACGAATGATCAGCTTTTTTTTTTATCATTCACATTGTGTTTTAGTGGAGAAGCTGATTGAGCCTCTCAGTCGGTTCCAGCTCGTCTGTAAAGAAAATGCCTGCTCGTCGCAGCAGACAGTCTGCAGTCGCTCTCGCTTTGTGTCCCCTACAATTAGCCGCTTTGAATGGCAGAGAGGAGGCGAGGGGGGCGGCACGGAGATCTGAGACAATCCGCATTCCTGTGGGGGTAGACCGGCTCCAGAGCTCTGCCACTCCCGGCCGCAGCCCACCTTCCGGGTAAAATAAAAAAAAAAAAAAAAGGAAGAAAAGAAAAAGAAAAGAAAAATCCTCCACAATTTCACCATGTTATTAGCAGGCAGTAATACCAGCGCTGCCGCTGCGAAACCGCCGAACAAACCGCGCCACTGTGAGAAACACTGGGGATTTGAAAATGGATCTAATTGAATTTACCCGGCCATATGCAGCAAGATCATATAAGTGAGTTTTTACAAACAAACATGTTGCTCAACCCCCCCGTCTGTCACACACACACACACACGCACACACACACACACACACACACACACACACACACTAAACAGTACTGCATCTGACCCACACACTGACCCATGCATGTCACCATTTCCACCTGACACAGAATCCTCTTCCTCTTCCTGATTGCAGCCTTAAGTACACTTTACTCTCTCTCTCTCTCTCTCTCTCTCTCTCTCTCTCTCTCTCTCTCTCTCTCACACACACACACACACACGCTGGAGCATAATGCCGCTTCTTCGTGTAAAGCCGGAGTGCTTGTTGTTGTTGTTGTTGTTGTTTGCATCCCTAATTTCTTCTGTAGGCTAAACGGCAGTCGCGCAATTACAGCTACGAGCAGGTCACTCGAGAAATTTAAGGGATTTTTCACATTGCACGTGCGCGCGCACAAGAACACTCAGGCGCGCGCACAACCTCGTACACATAGGCCTTTATATTATATCTCTCTCTCTCACACACACACACACACACACACACACACACACACACACACACAAACACACCCACCACTGTATGTGTCCCCCCCCACTATCCATCTCTCAGTCTTACACACACACACACACACACACAGTAGTGGTGCCATTATATCGAGAGCCCCCGTTTATTTCCAACCGAACATTTTCCACTCAGCTAGTTTCCCCCCGTTTTGCAAATCGAGTCTAAATAATGACAGTTAGCTTTACTGGACAGCTTCAACTGTAACACTCCACAATAATTATTCTCCAGGATTAGGGCCTCCATTATCATAATCTGGACATTGACAATTACCTATAATTTGCAAAGATGCGCTTGGTTCTTGATTGCAGAGGGCTTTTTTTTTTCAAGCTCGCCATCACTAAACAGTGACAGTAATAACAGCTAATTTTGCAGGCAATATATAAGAGCTTACCGGGGTGTGCAAACACTTTCCCACCTGGATTTGCTTATTCAACCACCAGCAGTAAAACCGTGCAGCGCGTTTTTGGTTAGTCTGTGTTAGAGAAGCGGAGAAAGGTAAGGATGAGTCTTATATATTCTATCCTGTGGCTGTTTCCTGTCGTTAGAGGAGGCTGTGGCAGTTGTCGACCGACTCTTCAGGGAGATCTTAGTTTAATGGTTGAGCCGAGACTGTGGCAGAGAAATGGAAATGCATCTGATTTCTTTTTTTTATTATTATTATTTGTTGGGGAAGGTTAGACTGTGTGTGGATTAGGGGGAGGTTTGTTCCGGCGCTGTAGATGCATACAGTTAATGTGGTGATGTGTGAAATCTTGTCAGGTGCTGTAGGAGCTTTTATATGAGAAGGCTGCTGCACAGTGCATCAGCCACTGCTCTGATAGAGCTCACAGAGCAAGAAGTGACACATCCCACCCTGCATCTCCCACCCCCATATCTGTCAGTCTGTTGCACTTTACCACCATCTATCTATCTATCTATCTATCTATCTATCTATCTATCTATCTATCTATCTATCTATCTATCTATCTTCAGTCTCAAACCCATCTGATTTAGCTCATCAAAGCCTTTTTTTTTTCTTCCCCCATTTGCGAAACATGATGAAAGGTGTCTCTGAATAAACACAACTGTGTATTTATGAGCTTTGTTGATGTTTACTCGACTGCTGCTTTCGGGCTCCCTGCAGCCCCGCAGATCAGGGTGCACATGGCCCAGGAGCAGATAGGCCCCCCCAGTGTATGTGGGCCCCAGGTAGGCTGAATGTGCGCCAGTGGGACATCCGCGACTTGACAGCTGCATGAAGCTTTTCAGCGTTGTAATTTCAGATAATATCCCGAGCGCTCACTCTCCTCAGCAATTTGTATATGAATAACCGAATAATTTTCCCTTTTGTTCCATCTGTGCTACCTCAAATCCAAATAAAGATGCCTTTTAGTATTAAAAGTGGTAGAAAATTACAGGTAATTATCTTTGACGGTAAAAACGCTGTAATCAGCGGGCTACATCAAAAATTACCCTAATTATGCCTGCATTTATGAGAATGGAAAAAAAGCCTCACTTGGATAAAAACCCACAAATTGTCCCAAATATCTCCTTCATATTGAACGCCACTGCAGCTGGCTGCTTTGTTCAACATCGATCCCGTGGAGCTTGGCATTTAACGGCCTGCATTAGGACGGAGAGAAGGGAGAAAACATTTTGTCAATACTTCTAATAATTGAGGGTGAAATGACAAGATGAGCTGGACCTGGAGCAAATGTCTTTCGAGGTGAATGTAGACAGCAGCGGGGCAGGGTAAGTTAATTTCCTCCGGTGTTGAGTGCATTTGATAAATCTATATACTGTCTTCATCAGCCAACTGAGCGCTTTATGGGTTTATTTAAAATGTTTACTCTGATGAAATGGGCTTTTCACTGAGCAGTGTGTCATTAATTAATGTTCATATTGTCTGTTATAAGATTGTGCACACCAGGGTGACGGGAAATAGGCCTGTTGTGATGTGATGTTGGCCCAATATGAAGCACAAAATAGGGGCCTAGTTTAAAATGAAGATTCTTTTTTTTTTTTTTTTAAATCATGCGACAGCAGGCATCTTTTTGAGTCACGGTTTACTCAATCTGACAAAACATAAAAAGTGTATGTACAAACTAAAATCGCAGATTATATTTACAGACAGACAATTTGCTTGGTTTTGCATGTTGGAGAAACAACCCAAAAAAAATAAAAATAAAAAATAGCAGTCAGGAGTCCACCATGGCTAAAGGTTCTGGGCGCCACAGCGCATGAAGAGTGTAAGCAGTCTTTGCCCCAAAGTGGCCGAAATGTCACTGATAATATTTGGTATATTGACGTTCAGATGTTGACATGAATGAAAGCATAACAAATATGCGAGCCCACTGAACAGCCATGTACGCTAAAAAAAAAAAAAAGAAAAAAAAGGTTAGTTCCCTTGTTTGTGTCATCACACCGAGGCTTGGCTTGCCCGTTTTATCCTTCAGCAGAGGAGCAGCGGAGGGGTATGTTTTTTTCCTCCTCCTCTCCAGCATCCAGTCTCTGCGCTGACACAAATTGTAGGCTACGTTGGAAACTGCATGGCGGAGATCCGGAGGCCTCCAGACAAGCTCGCATGACCCTTCCTTGCCTGAGTCAGTCTATCTCTGCATTGAATCTTGATGTGGGGAGGAATACCAGTGAGAGTAGCCGGGCATGTAGCTGTTGGCCGGCATGTTTACTCCTTTGGAAGAGGCCGAGACGTCCCATATTGGAGGGATGGTCGGGGAGCGCGGGGAGAGGGACATGGAGCCCGGTATAGGGTCGCTCTCGTGCGGGTTGCCGCCTTGCTTCAGCAGCTTCTTGAACTTTGACCTCTTGTTCTGGAACCAAATCTTTACCTGCAGGGAGAGGATGAGAAAAGGGTGCATGCAATTAGAAGAGCACACGTGGATATAGGTTGGTTAGTTTCTGCAAAATTTCTCCAAGCATCAAACGTTTAATATTAGAAAGATAAAAGCCAAAACAAAAACACAAAGCCAAATGATAATAATAATCATAATGTCCTGATCTCTATTATATTTAAATACAATATTATTTCATGGAGTTCAATGAGAAATCCAGGTTGTAAATTCCTCCTCATACCTGGGTTTGTGTCAGTCCTAGAGAGGCAGCCAGCTCGGCGCGCTCCGGTAAAGCGAGGTACTGTGTTTGCTGGAAACGGTGGTTCAGTGCTTGGAGCTGCAAACTGGAGTAAATTGTCCGAGGTTTGCGAATCTTCTTGCCTTTCCCATTAAAACGAATTTCCCCGTTTTCAATCACTGTCGTCTTCTGCTGCTCTGCAACAAAAACAATCAATGTTATTATTCAAAACCACTGAGTGGACATCTTAATTTTTCTGTGCTGGGGTCGGTGGGGTGGGGTGGGGGTCGGGGGGGGACACAGCCGGTGTCAAAACGGCTGAAATATTCCGGGAAGGTGGAGATAAAATCAGTGGCGCGCCGAGAGAAAAGTGTGTTTAAAAAAAAAATAAATGGAAAAATTCAGCCTGATAAACGTTGACATCTCACCGCCTGTAAGCGCCGCGGCAGCCACAATCCTCATACGCTGTCATATTTAGGATATTGCTGGTAATGACATGTCAATTAAATGCTAATTACAACATTCAAGGCGTGCGGGCTGCCTAATTTTCAGGAGTAGTTGGTGAGGATTGCACGGTCGTGATGATCACACCCCGGGCATTAAAACAGGTTTTGTGGGAGCTGAGAGGGAGTGCTAAACGGGACAGCAAAGCGGGGCTAAGGGAGGCAATAGGCTGGATCTCGAATTATCCGGTGCCGTTTACGCACGATTTTCTTCGCTGTAATCGCGCACCTACGCTTGAAAGATCATTCGTCCGAATTTGGAGTGGCCCGCAAGGTGACTTGGGCATAACACCGCCAACTCTGGCAGGGGGAGAAAGGCTCGATCCCCGCTGTGGGCAACCGACATTAAAAGAAGCGCTAATGGCACTGTCAGGGCGCCGGGGATGGACATGGCGCGGTGCATTTTTCCACTCGGCTGGTGAAAAAAGGGGGGTCTCTTACTTACCTGTGCCGTCTAACCTTGTCTGTCCTCCCGTGTTGTTGTGATAGGATGGCAGGTACGGGCTGTGGTGCGGATGGCTCACGTAGGGGTAGGGTAACGACCTGTTGTAGGTGTTGGTCCCGGTGTACGCGGTGTTGTCGTGCTGGTGGTGAGCGTGTGAGCCGGAGTGGAGACAGTGCAGCGGGTAGTGGCCGCCGGCCATCGACGGGGAGCTCTGCTGTGAGTGCGACTGCTGCCCAAACTCCATGAAAGCAGACTTGGACGAGTCCTGAGCCTCCAGACCGTCAGCCATCGTAGTCATGGTCATCATCGAATTTTCTGCCTTGAGAGCACTCACCCCCCTCTCTCTCAAGACCAAATCGGTTTTCTCTCTCTCGCTGTGCTGTTGTCTCTCTCCCCTCTCCACCGCGAACAGATATTGTCCTATTAAGACCCGAATTTTCCAGAGGCGTCTTTATTCCCCCCCTTGTCCTGTGATGTTCTCACTCAAAGTGGCGGAAGGTAGGCATAAGTTAAGGGAGAGATTTTTAGGTGGATTCTGTTAAAATTGAGCCCTTGCTTCCAGACTTGATGCAGACACTACAAGTAAAATGGTTTGTCTCCAAAGGGCAGCGCCTCCCGATTGGTCATCCAACCCAACGTCATCAGTGCTCTGCGCTACACGGAGACTTGAGCTGGAGTTAACCCACCTTACCAGCTCCCACCACAACTATGGGGGAAATAATATATGGTGGGGAAAGACGCATAATTCCTACAGACAAGCTCCACACGCAAAACCAGCTCTTTTGGAATTGCCGAGTCGATTTTTGTTTTTTACCCAAACCCTCAAATTACGCACGACGCGCAACATATAGTGCGCACTTTGATTTAGCCTGATGTGCCAGCAGTCTATATGGGCCTCTTTTTTTCTCAGCTTTTAACTCCTCCTCTCCTCAGGCTTTTAATTACTTATAGAAAAGCATCACACAAACACCCATTTAAAAGAGTATTAAAGTCGAAGTTGATTTTCAACCCAAATACCAATAAATTATTTACAAGCTTGCCACACAGGAAACAAAATATCAATCTTCACAAGCCATCTATTATCATCGTTTAGTAGGATTAAATATTGTTTTAACCAAATTTATAAACATTTACAAATGGGTGTGGGATAACCCCAGTCGTATTAAGTATACCTTTAAAGATTTTTTAAAAGGTTGTCTTATTTATACTGGAGAAGTGATCTGTTTTATGTCAAGGAAACTCCTGAAACAGGTGGAACAGCCTTCGAAATAAGTGAAAATAGGCCTCAACGGATTCTTTTAAATGCACAAATTAGAGCTTTTGGGTTTATTTATTTTTACAATGAATACCTTAATTATTAAATTCTCAAATAACTTATTTTTTTGCAGTGTAATATTTGCTTTGATGTCGCCTAATGAGCAGCCCCTCTTTAAGCCCCCCTCCGCTCTGAAAGTAACATATATTATAACTGTTCGTTCCTCCTGGGGCTACTGACCATATGATTAAGGATCTTCAGACAATTCAAGATACAGCACATGTGACACATCAAATAACAATATGCCTGAGGTACAATAGGTTATTTTGCAGATAGAAGGGTGGATACCGAGATAAACTGACAGTGTCTTTTATCCCTGTTGTAATATGAGGCCTGATAGGGTCCTCAATATATGTAAATTATACAGTTTGCCTCTGAGGACTGCGATGTTCGATTCGCAAAATAAGAATGAAATTCTGTTTCCGCTCATATTAACGCAATAGGTATTCAAATCATGTTTTGTACCACTTTCACCACATTTTTCTGCCGCAATGTAGCATTCAGCGATTTCACCCCAAAAAAAAAAAAAAAGGAGATGAAAAATAATTATGGCTGCAATCAAGTTACTGCGAAAACCTATTTGATTAGCGGCCACACTTTACTCAAATTGCAGCTATAAAATTAAGAACAATTCGCCTGTAATGATTATGGACTGGATTTATTTTGGGAGGGTGGAATAAAAGTGGATATAGCATAAATTATCCCCTAATTATACGCCAGTGTCGCCTCAATTATCCTCTTATCAAAAATGGTTGTCTAAATGCAGCGTTTAGTTTCAATTTTCTCCTTTTCTGTAACAAGAACTTGGTACCTTGCTATTATCGTCAGCTACGGTTGTTATTTACTTTGTGGGATTTAAAAGTGCACAACCCAGCCGGATAATCATTTTACAGCAGCGGACCAAGAGAGGAGCACAGAGGCAGGGGATGTGAGCCGCAAGACACCCAAGCGGATTTGGTTTTATTCCTCCAGACTCTCTTAGATTCAGTTAAGTTTTTCTACAAAATCACAGTGCTGCTTCTTTTGTCGCCAGGAGGGCTGCAGGTAAGAGCTTCTTTCTGAATGCTCTTTTGTGTTCACTGACACTGATGAATGATTTTATTGCCTCTGATAATTCTATGTTTTACGCACACAGTAGTGTGGCCACTGCAGACCTTGCAGGAGTCGGGACACCTTGGTCACCCCTCAGTGCTCTAACATAGTGGCCAATTCCCCTTGCCCGTGTTCCACTTGGACACGCAGAAGAGAAACCAGATCCTATACCTTTTCTAATCGCCTTTGAGTGCCACTACAAAGGCATACATGCGTTTGCAGCGATGTGAGTTGCTTCCCTGCGGGCTTAAATCTCCGGGCTAGATTGGATGAGACGTCTTCATTCTTTAGCAGCATCATCAGTGTGCCACCGCAGGATTATTAAGTTGCGGGATAACAGTGCGGGTGATGTGAAAGTCTTGGTGTCCCGCAGGCGCGTTGGGAGGCTTTTCTGGGCACACTGAGATTAAGTGAAGTGGTGAAAGAGCGGATTTGTTTGAATAGAGAGAACATGACATACTCGACCTTGGTGCTTTTGAAATGTTTAAGATGTAGCCTATTGCATGCATGCTGACAGCCGTGTCTAATTGCAAGGAGGCGCATGGAGAAACTCCGGGGCCTGTGCAGGATGGTATCAGTGGACAGGATCTATAAACGATCATTTAGTTTGGTTTAACATCGATTTGCGTTCGTGCAAAATGGTTTTAACATGCAGGAGACGAAACGCCATGTCCCTAACGCATGCTTCACCTGCTGTATCATGCCTTCCTGTTGTACTCTGCCCTATTAGGGGTTCATAGCCTCATTCTGGAGAGAAATTATTTTATATTTCACTTCGTCAAAATGTCAATCACAAAATGAACAGCGTTCAGCTGCAAATCTAGAAATCACTTTGTCCCTAAGTAGATGATTGACCTTCAGCACAATCAATGGCCGTGGTGGTTTAACAGAAGTGGTCTTTATTTCCAGCTGTCTTATAAACGCTGATGAATGACTCTCTAAAATCACTCCAGGCCTTGGATTTCCCTGACATCCACTGTCTGATACATGAAAACTGAGAATATTTAACATCGCGTTTGTAGGCGTAACCTGGCGTTATTTTATGGTTAACACACTCGCTGTCAGTGGGAATATTATTAAGGTAAGGGGTAGTATCAGTTAGTTAACGTCCTTTACGCACATACAACTTAGATTAATGTGCAAATTGCCACTAGAGAAGTTAAAAAAATAATTATGCAAAATGTAACTAGTTTCTCTCATCTTCTCTCTGGCTGCTTCTAACACCGCCCGTCTTTTCTTGTCTATCTGGCCACACGTGTTAATCATATCTGAGCGTTAACGCGGAGTTCCAGAAAGACACAGGTCATAATTGTAGCGAGTGGCTGGGCGTTTGCGGTCGGTTCCTCTAACAGCTATTGACTGGCTCGCATGGAAAGCCACCTCCTTGGCTGCTCGGGGACCCGGGCGGTTTGGGGACGCTGAGGCTTGTCACAGCAGAAAGGGAACCGGGAGACACTTAAACAACATGTCTCCCTTCTCCACAACGCAAAGCCACAGGCGCTGCACAGACAGCCAGGCGTCGACGGCTCTCCATCTCTGCCGCGTGAAGGGCGGGAAGTGGCGAGGGGAAGCTGCATACTACACACAGCTGTCAGTGTAACACGGTTCATTGTAACTAGATTCAGAGAGAGAGAGAGGGAGAACACCCCCCCCTCACACACACACACACACACACACACACACACACACACACACACACACCATCCCAAAACGATCAGCCTAATGCTCCAGTCGAATTCATCCGTGCCCAAACGGTGGCGCGCCGCTTTTACGCACATAAATTGCGCACAGCGCACTAATGCAAACCCACTTATGCAAAGCTTTGATGTGTTTTGTATACGCTTGCAACTACACCAAGAAAAATTAGTGCGGTTTTGTCATAAAGGAAACCACGCGCTGCCAGCCAGGCGACTGTTTACAATAAGTTTTGCATCATAAATTAGGATTGCATTATCTCTCGAGTAAATAGCAAAATTGGCATATGCATGGCCCCAGGTGCAGGCGAGGGCCTTCAGATGGACCCAGTGTAGCGTGATGGTAGTGGAGCTAAATGACCACAAATAAGCAAAAGGCCTGCACCGCTGAGTCTCTCAGCCTCTCATAGTCTAATGGATTTAATTTGGCACGTCTGAAGCTGCACTGGTCCCACTCAGGGCCCGTGTCCTAATTAAGACTGCTTGTTTCTCTTGTCGCCTTCTCTCGCTGTATATTTAGCTCCACCTGAATGATTGCATTGCTCGGTTTTCTGCACCGGGCAAGTGTTTTTATTTATGTTATGTCATTTGTTTCTGAAATGAAAAGAAACGAAGGCCACGAACCTGAAATGGAGTCATTTGGTGAAGTGTAATAGCAGAATGTGAGCGCAATCTCTGGCCATATTATCAATATTAGTCAGGCAATAAATGGAGAAATAGCTAAGGACGACAATAATGTTTTTTCGTTTTTTTTTAACATACACTTGTTGTCGTCTATTGGCGGTTTAAGCTCAGACTCAGATTAGTTTAGGCTCAAAGCTCCTGGTCGCGCTCATAGCGAATTTAGTTCGTTTGATCCTGAATACCAAGTCAGTAACATAGGAGCTATATAAAAAAGTTAATCTGAATTTTATGTTGGTGACAAATAAGACTAGTGAGTGCCGGGGTGTGCGTCGCCCCCCTCCCCCCCTTTTTTTCTCTCTCCCTCTCTCGACTTAATACGCGACATTATTAGGTCTGACAGCACAGTGGTCGGTCTTGAAGGAGAGGATTTGGTCGATAGATGACAGACAGGAAGGCCAGCAATCATGGGCTCTTTTTTTATCAGAATGTACTGTTCGATGCCGTTTATCCCTGATGATAGAAAATTGCTCTGTTGCCAGGACGCTGCCGCTGAAATAGAGGGCAGGAGCAACATTTCCATTTTCCAGTTTGAAAGCCATTGAAATGAATTAGTAAAAATGGAAAAAAAAGAGGAAAAATGAGAAAGAATCCTCTGGTAAACAAAGGGGAGCAAACAAAGATACCATTTTCTTTTGCCGAGAATCCACCCTCCTCATTTCCTGTTTTTTTTTTTTTTTTTTTTTTCTATCCTGCAGCAGCAGAGTGAGGGTTTTTACTTCAACAGTTGCAAATCACATGCTTGGCTTCTAATGTAGTCCAAGGCCCGAGCCTACTTCAAAGACAATCATTTATTTCCCAACCTCCTGGAATAATTAGAGCGCCTTTTCATCTGTCGTGACAGAGAGAGAGAGGGAGAGAGAGAGAGAGAGAGAAATTAAGAAAGAATACTTGACGTCGAGGAGCATTAAGCAAACTCCTGAAATATTCAACCATTAAGCAAACGAACAGTAACCTGTCACAGTGGAGGGGGAAAAGCCGAACATTGAAGGAAGAAATCTGGTTTTACTAGAATTTAGAAGGTGTAAAAGGTTAATAGTTTAGACTTGATCACATACAATAAAGAAAACGTAGCCTTCAAATATTGCGTGCAATCCCCAATGATTTTACCTCTAAACGTTATTATTATTAATATTATTATAATTGAGCTATTATTATTGCTGTTTATGTTGCCACTGTTGCTGCTATTATTGCCACAATCATCCCATGACCAGTTCGTTTAAAGACCTGAAATCTTGTATTTGGTATCATTCTGCACACAACCTGTCAAATCACTAAAATGTCAAATATTAGGTAGGCTATATGACTATTTTTTTTAAAAACTGAATACAACATAAATATTATTGCAAGAGCTTTTTAAGAAACAAGCATCATGCCAGGGTGGAGGATATTTTGAGGCCTCTTGTAGAGAATTTTTCGTTAAGGGAATATGGGCTAATTAACTGTAATCTGGGCATTATTTATCAGTGACACAGACACATCCTGTGGTGAGGCCATCATCAGTATACAGGGGGTGGGGGGGGGGGTTACTGTCTGTGTCCGAGCAGGCAGGTGGTTTCAAACGCGCCTCCAGTGCGCGCTGCACGCTGCATGAAGCCTGGTGGATGAAGAAATGACGTCGGAAGAAACACTGGATTATAGTGAAGCCTTAAGAAGGGATATAATAAATTGTAGGAGGATACCAAATGTCCCAGCATCACTGTGTCAGTCCTTGTAGGAGCTGGGCTCTCACAGTATATTATTGTCGTTGTTCGTTTGGGAATTAATGGTGATTAAAATGCCTAAGGTTTGGTATCCGTCGAAGGAACCTATAGCCTATTAATTGTCAAGCCTACTATTCTTGACAATAAATAGGAGAGATAAAATTATGTTTTTACTGTATAATATAACTGAGAAATAAAAGAAACTCAGTAGGCCTGCACAATTCTTTGTTTCACAGCACGCATATATCCTGTAATATTAGAGATAAATATCACTCCCCTTTATCATAAACTGAGTTATATGCTTTGTAGGGGCCTGCATGGGCTGATGTGGACACATTTTATGAGATAAACCTGAGAAAACACACATATAATCTTTATAGGATAGTGAGGCTTATATGTGTTGGATAAATAAAGCCACTACTGACCAATTAAAAGGCTCAATTAAAAGGCTCATCTGCAAATGCAACCAGATGAGCCTCATAAAAGAGAACTAAACACAGAGGAAGAGTACTAAACTCTCTATGAAGTGCTTTAAAATGAGAAAATATAGACTGTCACTGATATAAAAGTCTGATTTTATACATGATTAAACTATTCAAATCCTGAAAAATCTTGTCGGTGGGAATATTTTGTAGATGCATCTGTACACACACGCATATATCCTCCATGCACACAACAGCAGTACAAAACCAAAAACAAAATAGTGTGTGTGCTCCAACAGGAAAGTCCTGGCTCTCATATAGGAATGAATACCCCACTGGAGGAAGTGCTGCACACAATAGCCAACACTGACTGTGAAATAAAAGAGCTTGAAACTTAAGAGCATGGTGTGAAGTGAGGTGGAAAGAAAGTGAAGAGAAAGGGAGTCACACCTGGTGAAATATGGTGTGGTGGGCGAGCGTGTCTCATTCTCAGATGCTGCTCAGGTTCTCAGGAGCTGTGGGTTGTAGGAGTTTGTCAGGTGATAGCTGTGGACCTTTGTCTGCTGCACCTTAAGACACTCCTACCTGAAACTGCATTTCAGATCAGGCTGGGTTTTGGTTTGGTCTTGTGCTCTGCCCTCTTTAGTCATCATTTTGTACACAGAAAGTTGGAGTAAATGATGTGTGGTATTTGTGCAAACCCTATATTTTCAACAAGAGTAGGCCTGCAATCCAAAGTTCAATCAAATTCTGAGTCTTCACATTCATTTCTGGTTATTTTGCATTGAAGAGAAGAAAAAAACATTCCTTCTTCAGGCTGACAAATGTCTAGTGCAAAAGTGCAAACACCTAATAAATGATCTGCTTCAAAAAAATGTTTCCTGTAAGTACAAATCAGATCAAATAGTAAAAAAGGTTTTTCTTTGTTCCACAATTTAATTTTACCCTACAAAATAATATTAAATCGATCAAAGCTTTGTGCACACTCATCTATATAAAACATATTTAACAAATATTTTGTACTCAAAAGCAATTAAATAACCAATTTTTTCCTTTTTTTTCTTGCCTGCATCACCATCATCGTCCTTATTATTATTATTACTATTATTATTATTATTAGCTGGCTCTTGATGTTTATTTTGGTGCTTCTGTTGTTGCTGTTGCTGCTATTATCATCATAATCATCATCATCATTACATTCAAATGGAGCAAAATGGAATATTACAGAAATATTATTGTCAGAGTTTTCAAAAAAACATAAATTGCTCATTGCTGAGCACTACACGGGCACATTAAAAAAATATTAAATAATGTCACAGGATTATATACGATAAAGGTGCCCATAGGAAACTATGTTGGCTACACTGTGTTACAGTAATGCAGAAGAAGGGTATTAACATTACTTATTTTCACAGCTAAAACGTATAATAAAATGACCATCCTTCTTTCAAATGTTCAAAAGAGCCTCCTTAGCATTTTGGAGAAAATAAACAATGCATACAATTTAAAAAAATAACAGACAAAATCTCATCAATTCAACGACCTTTCAGATTTAGTGACCTGCGGCATTATGACAAATGTTTCATTCTTGAAATTAAAAAGGCTGCGTTTATGAATCAAACCATATAAGCATCACTTGAAAATTAAAACATGAGCTTTCAAAAAAAGAATTGCTGCTGTGAAACACTTGTAAGCAGGACAGTCCAGGGTCCTCTGAGTTAATACACCACAGATCACAGATCAGCTTAATGATTTGGCCAAGAGATCATGTCTATAGCCAGCCTCATAATATCATAGTTATTAATTCGTTGCCTGGAAAGCCCTCAGAGCCTTTATTTTCATTTGCTCTGAACTGTCAGATTCGAGTGGAGAGATTTTTAGGACTTTGTCCATTTTGGTGAAGTGAAGGTAGCCAATTATTGTCATCATTGCCCTTGAAAATGCATTACGCCTCACCTGAGGGCTCACTCAATCAAAGAGACTGAAGGGGCGATTAACAGATGACTTCTGACCTTAATCCATCGCAAAATCACCCAAAAGAGTCAGACAGCAATCAACATTTCTCACTCAGTTTCATGTTTCAAACTTTCTTATCGTTGACATATAACCTTGGGCATCATAATGGCCATTCTGGGTTCAGGACCTTGAACATTGTTTTTCATTATTATTTTCTGAAAATGGATTTGCAAGTGATTAAAAAGAGAGCAAATTTCAAGTTGTCAATCTTTGCTTAAATCCTATGAAAAACGTTTCAGTTTCATGATTTAATTGGTAACACTTTACTTGAAGTCCCCATATTTAGCATTTACTGGCAATATATAAACATTTAATAAATGGTGTATAACACTATAATGTAGTAAGCAGATATAAGTACATTTTAAAGTGTTTAATAATGTACAGTATTTGTCAAGAATTATAACTTCTACTATAAAGACATATTTTATATTATTCAATTGTCTATATTGTCTTATCGATTTCTACAGCAGTAGAAGTAGGAGGAGTTACAGTTGTTGAAAAATCTATTAATAATCACTTATATCTGCTTAAAACTACATTACAGTGCATTATAAACAATTTATTATACATTTATATGTCGCTTATAATAGCTGGACTTAAGGTAAAGTGTTACTGTTCTAGGGTTTTAAATAAGCTTAATTAAATAAAATTGAAAATAGCCACAATATGGTTAATAAAATTAAAAATCAAGAAATTACCCTCTTTGTATCATACTGTCTGGAACTACTTTATGAGCTCCAGTTTTGATTTAATTTAAACAAGCTCATTGTGCCTTCTGTCAAGCTCTCTCTGGTGTATTGTAGGCCTGGCATTAGCATGCTTCCTCACCTGGGGAACTTGAAAGATGAACATGAGTCAGGCATCATGTTCTAGTGATCGCCTTTTCACAGATTTCCCCCCCCCTCACCCGAATAATTAAAACGAGCACTAAGCCAGTGAATATACTGCCTGGTGGTTTTAATTTGAACCATCAGCAAAAGCTCAAATTGATTTTTTTTTTAAGGAAATGCTTATGAATAACTCTTTTTTTCTCTTTGTCTCCCTGTTTTCCCCTCTCCAATATCTCTCCCTGCCTTTTTTTTTATCACGCCCACCTTCCTCTCATGTCCCCCCCCCCATGCATGTCCAGCCACTGGTCTCCATCTCTCCTCCATCCAGTCCCCCTTCTCTCCTCTCCATATTCCTCTTCATACCCACTCTACCCCTCTCTTCCTCTCCCCTCAACCTCGCTCCCTCTCCCTAACCCCACGCCTCTCTCCCCCCTTTTCCTTCACTCACCCAACCCCCCCACCATAGGTACGCCTCCATCCCCTCTTGGCAGCTCCATCTCCTCCTCGCCTCCCCCCTGTCTCTCCTCCCTCTCCCTAGTTGGTTTCCACAGCTGTGGTGAGTGAGGGGCAGATGACCGGAGAATTGGCCCCTGGGAGAGCGCTGAGCCATCCTGGTGCTATTAGGCTCGTGGCTAATAATAGGTGTTTCAGACCAGGGGAAGATCAATCAGGGGGAATCATGGGGAATGTTCGGAGCAGCGCTTTTTACACATCGGCCCAGATGGATGAAATTACACTTGTCAGTTTTTAGTTGCATTACTCCCAAATTGGTTGTCTACTCTTTTTTTCTCTCTCCCTCCCTCCCTCGCTTTCTCTCTCTCCTCTCTTCTTTCTCTCTCTTTGCCCTCCTTCATGTGTCAGTGGCCTGCTAAAGGGATTCAATGGTGAAATCCCTGTCATTTTTGTCTTTTCCCTGTTTAGCCCTCAGCCAGCAGCTCTGTTGCCTGCATATGCACTTAGGAGAAATCAGTTTAAGATGTTGTCTTATGGCTTGGGCAATTTCCATGTTTAAGGCAATTGTGCAGCTGACATCCTGTATGTGGTCTGCATGTAGAATAAAATGCTTTCATTGACACAAAAGGTACAGTGAAAAACAAGTCAGTCAACAGAAAATGGCATCGGCAACGATTTTGATAATCAGTACATTATTTCAGAGATTTTTCAAACCAAAATGCAAAATTTTGTTACAGCTTTTTCAACGTGTGCATTTCCTGCTTTTGTCTGTTTAATTTCGTTGTAAACTGAATATTCTGATGTTTCTATATTGTTGGTCGGACAAAACAAGACATTTGAAAGTGTAACCTTGGGCTCTGGGTAACTGTGAGGGTTATATATTAACTATTTTATACAGTTCATAGATTAAAGGATTAATCTAGAAAATAATCTGACATAGCCCTCGTTCTGTGAGTGTGAAATAAATGGCTTTACACAAATTGATAAATTTGTCAATTGCAATAATTTTATTGTAACTGCATAAACATCTTGTCTTGTAATTGACTAATTGTAATTACATCTGCCAGGGGCAAATGAATCTTTCAGGCTGTATTTCACTGAACAGAATAAAGTTCCCTGCACAATGCTCACTCTCTTTGGTGTTTGTTTTAACGCATGTTGATTTTTTGAATGACCCCTGAACTTGTTGCAGACATTTTTAAAGGAAGAACCCGAGCTAAGATTTTCAGAAGGACAAGAAAAACAATTAAACTGTCAGAGTGCAGATCTCCGTCAGGCAACAGATGGTGAAACACCTACAATGCCACCACAACTGCCAGATGCAACCTGAAGACTTTTTCCTAGTATAGTATAGTGTAACTATCTTGTATAGAGGGATGCATAGTTTTTTGATAGTGTTTTTGAATAGTACAGTCTTTACAGGTTCAAATGGCTTTATTTAAATATTTTAACGAAACAGGTTTAATATCCAGAACATAACTTCTTTATAAAGTCATGATGTTACACTGTCCAGTACATTAGGTGGCAGTATGCACCTTTAACGTTGGTTTGTAGTCCAACAGTAAAGCCAAAGAAGAAAAAGACTCCCTTACAGTCAAGATGGTGGTGAAGATAATAAAAAAAGGGATTATTCATCTTGTATGGTCTAACTTTGGCGGTTTGTAACATATCAGGTATGGAATTATGGATTCTACTGTTCAACAGCTATGAATGCTGGATTTTGAACCACAACAGAGGCCAAAATGTGGCCTGCAACAGGTTAGGTAAGCCTTGCTGTTAGCCTAGCAGTTGTTGATCACCTGGAGTCTGCAGTGGGTATAAAACAGAGCAGGCAATAAAAAGATTTTTCAAAAATTGTGAATCACCGCAACCATAAGAGGCTCTTGAGTATGCAGTCATAAATGTGCACAAAAAATATGAGGCTGATTGGTCCAGTAGTATGCGAGATTCGCGACAGACAGATACACACAGGGACACACGCGTACACGCAACCAAACGCTCAAATCCCCTCTGGGTTTGTGCCTGGCGGAGATAATGATGCTACAGGAGGTTTACATCAGGCATAAATCAAGGCTTTGAGCAGTACAATGCCTCTTTACTATCCCCATCCAAACCCTAACTCCTCTTATGATTGATTGATTTTGACTCAAAAATGTGAAAATATTTCACGGACAAGGCAGTTTAGACTGTGATGGCAGAGCCAGAGATAATTGAATGACCCGAGCTGTAGTTTCTGTGCAGTCGCAGGGATGCAACAAGCTCAGTAAGGTGAAAAGGGCTTTACGCCTGGCTGTGCATGCAAGCCATACAGCACATCATCTAAACCCCCTTATACTCCTGATGTGTTACATGATAACTAGCACTAGGTGTCAGTCAGAAAGGTGACTATGGAGGCTGAGAGGGATCATTTTGTGGCAGCCACACAACAGCTATTTGTTTCAGTGATTTCCACTTCTGACTAGGTACTGACAGACTAAAATGGTCAGTGTTTACGAGGCTTTCCTTCCAACTTGTCCTCACATTAGCAATTTCCCCTTGATGTGGCTACTAGCTAAGTGTCCTGGCGCAAAGGGGGGTATGGTATTGATATATTAAAGTGCTTGCTTGTATTACTCCAGTGTAAGGCATGCGGCTACTGCACCCTGCCATCAAAACACTGGTATGACAATCACAGCAGAAGATTGGCTGTGTGCTACAGTAGCTGCTCTGAATAGCCGAGAGACATCACCCCCCACCCCCATCCCAAACTGGAAATCAATACAGCCGCCAGATGTTGGGGTACTCCCGGTCCACGGAGCTGCCTGATGCAGAGATGTTCCTCAATGTCTGATTGCACAACGGAGAAGACTGGAAACAGAAAAGGATTCTTTGACTGAAAGCACGGTGACCATGGGGGAGGGAACCGAGGCCTCTGTGAGAGAGAGTCTCCTTAGCAACGGGAAGAAAATTAACATTGACATCCTGACTTCCCAGCAAAACTCGTCCCAGAGCTTCTGCTGGATATTTCCATGGGGCGAGCAAAAAAATAGAGATGTTCAAAAGCTGATATAAAGACACACTCCCTGCTTGTCATCCATTTATATTGAAATGAGTTTTTCCCCCTCAGCTCGGCTTGTGTGTAGTGAATACAGAGAGTCCTAATGTATGTATTTTGCTCATTTTACTGTGTCTGGCGTTTCCGCGCCTCTCCACTGTGACTCTGTGTTTGCCTCCTGCTGTGGTAAACACAACATTGCTATGATAGCACATGCATTTCAGAAAGCTCAAAACACCGCCGAGGAGCCGAAACATTCATTCTCTCCTCTCTCTCCCTCTCAATCTCTTTCCCCCTCTCCCTCTGCCTCAGTCAGTCCTCTCCCTCACTTCCAGCCAAGGTATTCAGCTCCCATGATTGCAAACACGCATAATGACAGCATCTCCCGGGGGCCAGCGGAGGTACCCCACTGATGCTGAGAGACTCTATCCTGTCGTCACATTGCAGGAAATTTTTGTCGGCAGTGCACATTGGAGCCTGGTGAGCTTTGGCAAGGCACCGCCAGAAGCTGGGCTGGCTGTTTTTTGTTAATAAAATGAAGTGCAAATTGTGCCGGGCTCGTATGCATTGGAACAGCTCACTGCTTCCTCCCATTACGAGGCCAGGGCGAGCGCCATGGAAGCATAAGCGTGAATACATTATAAAGTAATGAGGAAACATCCAGGAGAGGGTCACGGGGGGCGTCAAGCAGCTCCAGAGGCCTCACCAAGAGCTTTCAGTGTGCTCCGTGATGGATTAGTCATTCGCGTTTGAAGAGCGAGCGAGAGGTGGAGTTCAACAATGTTACACATAGCAACAGTTGCTAAGAGTTGCAGCGAGCGAGGCCTATTCAGTTTGTGAATATGTACAGTTGCTGCTGAGCAGGAATATAGGTGAATAGAGATAGAGCTGTTTTGTGTATCAATGATGATGATGATGGTGACATTTGCAACAATGCCACACAATATTCATGAACATCAAAAAACTGCTAGGAACCATGTGGTAGTAGAGAAGATGATAATGTAAACCATTCATAACATAGCAGCATGAGAGTGGTTAAGACAAAATGTCACTGATATTTGGGATTTGAAGCAAATTATGCATTGTGCATGTAAAAATGACAGCCTAATTCCTGCCGTGGCTGCAGCTGGAGCATATCGTTCTGAAGAATCCCAACCCGTACAGCCTGATAAGGTCTGGGGTTGCATGCAAAAAAAAAAAAAAAAAACATGCAAATCTATCTGTTCACCAGCCTAACGGGCATTATCAGGCTGTATTTTAGACCTAACTGTCCTCAATATGTCACAGAAAACGCTCACAGTGACACACTTAACCGAGAAAGCCAGACTTGAGTGCATTATATAGACTCTCCCTGTCAATCATGCATCACACAAACAGGTCACATTCTATACATTCCCGTAGGCTGGGGTGGGTGGTAGCTAGGGGGGTGGGGTGGGGTGGGGGGGCTAGTTTGAGCCCTGTGCTTTAGAGCCACTTTCGGTTTCTCCACGGTGCAAACGCCCTCCCATTGGCATTCAGTCTCTGATGAGCCCGCCGAGCCGCAATGGAGTCGCCTGATGGAACGCCATGGCAACAGCCGACACCTGGCAAGAGTTCATCCTACCTCCTCTCTCTCTCTCTCTCTCTCCCTCCTCCATCATCCCCCTCTCCCTCCCTCTCCTCTCCCCAGATGCTGGAACATATTTCCCTCAGACTGACTGAAAGCCCCTGTGAACAAATAATGGGTGCACGCCAGTCTAAATAAAGTGCGGTTTATGAGTTGCGGTCAGAAACGTCTCCCTCTGCCCCTCTCTCTCTTGCTCTCTTTTTAATGTTCTGCACAAAAAACAGTTGCCAACATTTTTTTCCTTTTTTTGGGGCCATATGGCTGGTTGGTGATTATACAAAGCCATTTTTTCCTTTCTCACAGTGAGGCACATAGTCAAATAAAAGAGAGCGGCTCCACACCAGTAGTCTGCAAACCCATTTCGTAGAGTGGAACAAGGTTCCCAAGCCAAAACAAACCAATGTGTCCCTTTGCCATTTTTCAGCCTCTGCTTTTCAATATGTTAGACCTTAGTGTTGAATAAATCTTCTGCAGCAAGCTTCAACTCTGCTGTGTTATCAATTAATCAAATTAATCAAGACTGGAGGGAGTTTTGCAAGACCCTTGCAATTCACAGAGAGGTTGCATAAATATAAAGTAAACCACTGTTTGATGGAAACCCCAGAAGTATTAATCACATAAACCAAACTTACTGATGATGGAAGATCCTGTAATGTTGTTTCAGAGTTCTTCGCACAGAAGTCAGGTTTAAGTCTTTGTAGTTAGCAGTATATTAAATGAGTACAATTTTGGGAATCACACTTATCTTTCCAAGAGTGCCCTGAGAAGATGTATTAATTTCATGTCCTGTATCATTGTACATTTAAAGATCCAGTGTGTAGGATTTAGTGGCACCTAGCGGTGTAATTGCAGATTGCAACTCCCTCGCTTCCTCCCCAAAAATAATCCAAAAGCACAGTGATTCTTGTTTAATGACTAATGAAAACATAGTTATGCATATATAAAAATTGTTGCTTATGTAAAGATGGTACGTAAAGAATGAAACAAACAAGATATATTATGTAAATAAGAGACCTTTGGAGGGACAGAGTCTTGCTGTTTCTCCCGCTTCCAGACTTTATGCAAAGCTAGGTAAACACGATCTAACACCAACTCCAAACCTAACAGAAAGACAAGACAGTCTGATATCAGTCTTCTGATCTCTCTCTTGGAATGAAAGTAAAAAAGCGCATTTTCTAAAATGTTGAACTGTTTCCTTTAAGTTGGAAATCTTTGTGGTTTTAAAGAATCTTCTGCTATCAAATTAATTGAGAATACTCCTAGCTCTGTCTTAGTTCAGGTATCAAGTAACATGAGTGATGCGTCATAAGCTACACCTGATACGCCATCAAACATAAGGCATCACTGACAGCTGACAAAATTAATCTCTGTGTTGGATAATAAAAATGGGGCAGAGGAAGTAGATGGTAACCAACTATTTTCACTTAGTCCCCCTGTTGATTTTGCACGTTCATAAATACACCAGCTATCATGACTTGGTTTAGCAACCCGTGATTAGCGTCTGGGTCAGTGCTATGGTTTGGTGAAGACCTAAGTCTCAAGTTCTTACGGTCTGGCAGAATTTACTGGCCCCATTTTGTATCCTAAAACCAATCTGTGAAGGCCAAATCATGCCACTAGAAAAACCAACAAGGCTACTGCTGTAAAACTGAGGGAAAAATTTTGAGGTTTTAGCAAGGAGAATGGCATGAAGAATCATATTTATATATGTAACACGTCTACCAGAAATTATGTCCTTAATTTCAACAACTCCCTGTTAGAGTTAGTGACAAGCATAGAGCTTTCTTTCCATCTTTCTAATGTTTCTTCAGTGAAGCATGTGGCCATCATTAATTATTTTTTTATGCTAAATTACCAGAGCCAAGGAGGTATGAAGTTAAAATGGAATGGAGAAAACTGGAGAAAAACATTGAATGGTGGCTCATAAAATTAAATAGTGTAATAGAACTATGTTTAATTTTAGTAGGTGATCATGCTGCTCTCACCATAATCGCATTTATGCATGCACGCAAGGTGGAAAATACCTTATCATTATAAGTATATTACAACAGTACTGTATTAACAATTACTGCATGTCCCTAACAACACTCAGCAAGTTTGATATTTTCCTCTAATCCTGGTAACAACAGACTATTGTAATTTGCAGAAAAATGACCGGAACATCATGTCCATGATGCATCTCCATCTTCTGCTTAAAACTTTGGAAAAGATGTGGTAAACTTGAGTGTAATGTCATGAAAAAATATGTTTACAGCTCTTAGGGAATGCTCTGCTTTCAGTCTTTCTGTGACAAATTGTGCTTAATGTGCAATGTAATGTGTGTTGAGTATTTAAGTGGTTTTATATAAATGCCAGTAGCAGCATACTAACTCAATGTTTATGGAGGCTTAAGAGGGTCTGGATAATATCTAGATATTGTGGCACTCAGGTGTGTCAGAATGATACAAACACTTACTTATGTATCAAAACCTCAGAGGAATTTCTGAAGAATTCCATTTAAATGTAACACATTATTTCCTTTTTGATACATGTTTTTCTTTGTGCACTGTTTTAATCCCCTATATTCCTGGTACAGCTTCATGTCAGCAAAAGGGAGAAGTAGGATTTAATCCCAGGCCTGAGAGGAGCCATAAGTGTTAATGAGCATTAAAAAGCTCTTAAAGTATAATCATCTCCATGGACCCTCGCTCTGAGGTAATGCCTATCACATGGCCTCTGTTGGCACCCTCACTCCTAACCACAACCCACTCTCCTCCAGGCCAAGAATCATGAAACCAAAACCCTTGAATCAACCAGGTCACACTACAGTGTTATAGGAGCTTTTGTAGACATGCAATATAGTGGGAAAAAACAAACAATTCAGCTATGATATGACTGCATTTAGTACAACAATCTACTCTCAGCTTAACGTCAAAGTCATTCATGGGAAGGACACATCTGTGGCTGTCCATGAATCTGTCTTTGTGGGAACAATTATTAGGTAGTTGGTCTTTTGTATAAATTGGACAATCACATATTTATCCATTCACTGGGAAAATGAGAGCAGTTCAGAGAAGAAAAAAAATGACCCTCCCTTCACGCTGCTGAATGTACAGGCTGGGATAGATGTGAATGACAGGTGTGAAGTGGCCAAAATACTCCAAACACAACCAAAAACAATAGTCTTTGTGTTCGCTGGAGGAAGACAAACAGGTGACAAAGAGTTTGTGCGTGACAGGCTGCATCAATGTCACATTGAAGGGTCTGAAAAAAGTGGCAGATGTTGGTTTTTCCTCAGATGGACTACTTCTTTTTGGAATTCCACTTTAGAAGGAAAGACAATTAAAAGTGAATAATACTCTTGGGTTTTACATCAGCTAAAAAACAATAAAAAAGAAAAATTTCCATCAAAATAGTGGATCTTGGAGTTTTTTATTATAGGAAATGTTCTGTTTAACCCTGTGTCATGAGTTTGTAATTGTCTAAAAGGTGTGAAAGGAGTTTCTTATAGGTAAGCTTTGCTTTGCCCATACACACTCTAGATGTCTAATACATACATATTGTGGAAGTAAACAGTAGGATTTTGTACACATGCTAATAATAGCAGGAGGGGACTGCTTAATGTTTTGACAACGACCCATTATTCCGAGACCCCCATAGTTCGAAAAAATGTCCCGCCAGACCGAAAGCCCATTTGTCCGATCCTGTTAACAAAAGCCCACTGCTCCAAAAGCCTGTTTTTCCAGAAAATACACACCCTCCCTGGAGTTTTGGACGTGCGGGAAGGACAAAGTCAGTTGACCTTTGTTGTCATGGTAACAATAACAAATATGTGGTTACCGTTGTGAAAGGGTCTCAGTTTGGTTAGGTTTAGGAAAAGATCATGGTTTGGGTTAAAATAAATATGTACGTTGGAAACATCAGTAAAGTTACTTACGCAGGTTGTTGATTCCCGTAGACGGTATAATTAAGAATGGACGTAGTCTCTGTGACGTCACCCATACTGTAGATTCCTGTATAGCCGTCATCAAGCTCGAAGTGTGATGGCTCTGGTCATTTACATGAACCAGGTATTTACCTAAGAAAAAAAGGTTTTCAGTTATTTTACGGTTTCAGACTAATGGCATGGCACCCAGCATGTTACCTATGTTAACATTACTTATGGAGGGTATTCTGTGCTTTTAATCTGTGCTACCCATTATCAGTTACAGTAATACTTACTACTTGCAAGAGCTAGGTTTGTGTAGTCTCAACTAAGATTATCACTGCTACTAGCTCCCTGGAGTTTCATGGCTCATATTAGATAACATTAGCTGGAACCAACAGATGACTATCAGTGTTAAAAAAAAAAGTGGAAGGAGAAGGGAGGATGATTGCTGAACAGTAATTTTACAAGATTCCAGAGAGTCGATTTTTATATACTGAAAATGTCCATATATAAGCAATCATGGCATTGTGGCAATGTTTTTCCACCCCTCTGCTGTGTGCACATCCTGGACTGTAAACAGGAAACCTGTCTATACTGTTGCCAACCGCACACTCTTACCCTTCTGAAGAAGTGAGTATGTGAAGAGGAATATATAATTTCAGCACACATTGATACTAAATTTGTTTTCACTTCTGACGTGTATCAACACTGACTGCGTGTTACAAATTTTCATCACAGTTACAGTAACACTAACTCACACTACATCAGGGATTTATTAGCTTTCAGTGCAAAATTAAACAAGTCTGCTTTTACATAACCACCTCAAAATGGACATCGTAAATTATCACACATTAACAGACGCTTCTGGTGTGTAACAGTGTTGTACCTCTGCTGCAAGAGGAGTCATGTACAGCAAGCACTAGGGGACAAACATCGCTCTGTCCACTTGATTACAACAAATAAATACTACTGGTAGAGGGATACATCTTCCGTGAGAGTGTATACGGAGCACGGCACCAGGATGAATTTGTGAATTGAAGCAAAGAAGCTTGAAATGTCAATCTCTCCATGAGCAGCGAGGTAGCAATGGTTAGTTACAGAACATTTTCTGACTCACTCATTCAAACTTTGTTTTACAGCGTCGACACGCACTCATGACAAGCAGCTAAAATGCTGCCTAATAAATATCGCCTCCGTTTTTATGCGTGCTTTGAGGTAGCCCTAATTAACCAGGCACTACACATGCTCCCCAGTGACATATGTCCCAGCCCAAGCCAAAAACAACACTGCCCTAAGGGAGGACGGAGAAGGCAAGTGCTTTGTTGGGTGTTAGTAAGTTGCGTGCGTAGGTATCTGTGTTGCATACTGCGTGTGTCTCTTGTGTGAAAAAAAATGTTCCAAGGGCCACAGTCTCTCAGATTTTTCACTTCGAGTGTGGCTGTACATTTGCATTGCGAGCCTGGGTCTCTGGTGGAATCTCCCAGAGGAGTGCTTCAGAGGCCGAGGTCCCGGGCGATGAGAAGAGCCCGCTTCCATGTGCGTGAGGCTGGGGCTCAGCCACCTGTGAGAAGGTTGAAGAGGAGGAGGGAGGGATGAAAAGAGAGATGTGAGAGGAAGATGTATGGTGAATGAATAAAATAAAGACAGAGGAGGAAAGAAAAATAATCCCTTGTGTTATGTTTGTCAGTTCATCCATACATATGGATGCCCCTCACTGTGGTTTGCAGAGGTGGAGGTGAAGCTGTGGCAAACTGTGATCATAGAGGGCAGAGGAAGGCTGAGCAGGTCCTATGAACCCATATGACTGTGCAGTGAGGTGAGGAAACAAGCAATATGTTATCACAGGGGTTTCTGAACATAAAGAGTGGCGTGTGTGTGTGTGTGTGTGTGTGTGTGTGTGTGTGTGTGTGTGTGTGTGTGTGTGTGTGTGTGTGTCTACACACCTGTAACAACCTTTCTGCTAAATGGTTGTTTGCTCTGCATCTTCTCTTGAACCTCCTCGCTCTACTTTCCACTTTCAGTGTTTGACTCACCCTCAGTTTTTAACCTTGTGCATCCATGTATATTTCCAAACAAATAACAAAAAGTTGTAAATATTAAGCATCGTAACTAATAGTTGCCAATAATCTGCATGATGCACTACGAGGAAGTAAAGACAAGTGAACAAATTAGCATTGTTGTGTGCTGTATGCTTTCTGGACTGACTGCCTCACCTAATATTGCTCTTTTGATGTCCAAGGTTCTTTTACAGCTTTTCAACACCTAATACATTTCCTAATATTAAGACATTTCTTTCAATATAATCTCCATAGGGATAAAGATTATGCCAGTGATACCTGTGGTCACTATTAATAATCCATTAATGCAGAGTAGAAATAATTTTATGTTAAAGCACCGGCATAATTCCACTTTATTAAATTGATATGGCAAACATGTTAGCAATGTTACCTGTTTATCTATCCAGCAGTTACAGAGCAACATTCATTTAGAACTGCATTTAAGACTTAAGTCTAGTCCAATATTCGCTATCCTTGTAGCTCTGTTTTGGTCACCACCTATCCATGAGGGCAATATCTGCATCTTATGCTTAACTCTTTCTCTGCTAAATGCGCCACTGTGTTCATCAGCTGGTAACTGACTTTGTCAGTCTAGGCATTTTTGTTGAAACAGGAAATGTGGTTGATGGAAGCTGTGAGATTGAAACCAAAACAGTAAAGCTGCAAGCCGCATCTGCAATGAGCTAAAATACTTTAAAATGCTGCTTAGATGCAAGGGGAACATTTTCTGTTTGTTTGCACTAAAAGCAGACAGACAGGTAAACACTTCTTCCGTTGTTAACATAAAAATATGCATTAATGCAGCTTTAACAGTAGTTGTCTTAGAGCTGCTGCACGTAGAGCTTCCTTAAAAAAAAATTATGTAACTACTGTTTTCAATCAATTTGACAGCAATGGCAGCAAACTTTATTGGGAAATGGTTGAAATATAGGCTTCATAAATTCAAATGTACCCAATTCCTCAAACTAATTGTAACTCTCTGTTGGTAGATTAATATGGCACTTTGCTATTTAATCCAAACCCAGACATCCAACAATAACCCATGAGCCAAGAGTTGAAGAGCTGATTCTTTTAATCCAAGAGTGATAATTGGTTGCGTCAAGTCTGGATACAAAAGTGTGGTTTCAAGAAACAGCTGTTTCTTATACATTAGTTATTCCAAAAGAAGAAAAAAAAGCATTTGCACCTATATGTGCCCCTAAATATTCACTAAGAGCCAGAACATCAGATCCAAAACATAAACTGCTTTTTTGTAGCCAAAAGCTAATTGATATTTTTCCACAAACAGCATCCAGTAAAGTTCTCTAATGGCCTTAAATCTTAATCATTGCAGTGGCTCTAGACTAGACATGACATCATGGCAACAGGTAGCCCAGTTTGCTCCACGGGTCTTTAATCATCAAGATTGCCATCATAATGGCTGAGTGGGCCACTGGTTCACAAAAGAAGGCCTCTCTGTGTGGAGGAGTCAGATAAGGTATGTCTCTGCTTCAAACAGTCTGGAAACAGAAGACAGGAGAACAGTGTATCCTTTATTTTGATGATCTCGGATAAGATGATACTCCAAAACTGTTATGAATAACTGGAAGTTGCAATAATCAGCCAAAATATAAATTAACATAACATAATTTCTTACAGGAATGAAGATGCTTTCTATAAATAAAGTGCAGTGGACTAAACAACCACAGATGCCTCTCAGATTTTGGACTCCCAAGACAGTCACCAGTTATAGATTCAAACCACCACCAATGACCAGACCCCTGCCAAAACACAATCAACTCCCTGTCAACACATTCACTGCACTTCTTCCTCTTTTCTCTCTCCTCTTCTCTTCTCTCCTCCTTAGCCCTGCATGTTGGATGCATCGGTGTCAGCCACACCAGTTATTCCCCTAATCCTAAACAGATTGGCTTCCGCCACAGAAGAAAACCCTCAGTCTGGCCGTCTCCTCGGCGCTTGCTCCGCAGAAACCCCATTAATCGGCAGCACATGGCGATAGGTTATGGAATGGATTATGGGCCTTGCAACGTATGTGGTCCGCTGGCTGCTCCGATAGTTACATGGTGGTGTTCAGGGACACACTCCCTAACGAGGAGACAGAATTGATCGGCGCTGTTCTCACTTTTACAGCCTCCACGACCAAAGGGGGAGGGGGACAGTTGTCAGTCATTCCTAATAGTTGCTCCCCTCAACAGCGGAGTCAATGGCTTTCTCCCTGATGTGAACACTGCATAGAAACTCATGCGGCGGGCTGAACGTGTAATTATCAAACTTGGAGCTGCTTATTAAGATGAGAAAGAGGACAAGGCGATTGTGTTTCTTTTATTTTTTGTTTCTCAGCACAATGGAGTAAGTGGAGGTCTGTGAAATCATGGCGAGGAAGAAGGATCTGAGAGGAGGAGGACAAGAGCGGGAGAGGGAGGGGGCAGAGAGAGAGAGAGAGAGACATGGGGAGAACGAGATAAAGGAGAAAGAGACAGTCAAACACACACATACATGAACACACACACACACACACACACAATAGTCACAAAACATAATAGTGAGGTAACCACAGTTCTCTTTTTTCTACTGCTGTGCCAGTAGGTGGTATGCGTGAACATGTGAACATGTGTGTGTGTGTGTGTGTGTGTGTGTGTGTGTGTGTGTGTGTGTGTACCTCTTAGGGGGTGGGTATGGGCTCAGAAACACAGCTGCAAGGCCTGCTCTGCGTCTGTCATTTGTACAGCACTAGTCTGCCAAGGGTGAAAAGTGACCAAAATTATCCAAGAATCCACGGTGTGTGTGTGTGTGTGTGTGTGTGTGTGTGTGGTAGGGGGTGTCCTAATTCAGGAGGAAAGGGTGAAAATTACACCTCTGCACACATGTCCAGAGAGTGGATCATACACTGGGTGGTTGCAAAGCCTTCTGCAAAAGGGAGGACAGCGTGTAGGTGCATGTATGAGTTGTGCTATGGATCAGACAGTGTCACTTAATTCTTTTGTTTGTTTGTCAATGTGATAACTCAGATTTTGGCCTAATAAAATTACTAGTAAAAGCAGCTTTGAGTTGCAAAAATATAACTATAAAAATCTTTAGCATCTTAGTTACAGTGTAAGTTCATTTAACTAAAAATAATTGTTGAAACTGATTACATACATTTTTTTAAGTAACGGAAACTCAATTGTTCAGGTTAAAATATTCTTGATTAAGCTGCTTTTATTTGTAATTTTAAGTGACACTAAGTTTTGTAAGATTGCAGAATCATTCCTGATTAATAACTTTTTATTATGTATTTTGTTTTCACAGTAGAAATAAAAGTCATTCTCAATTAAAATTACTAGCTATTTGATCAAAAATGTTTTTCTAACTTACAAAATTGAGTTTGTTTTACTTAAAAATAGATTTTTAAAAAAGAGTTAAATGAACTTATCTGGTTTTACAGTGTACTGGGAGTGGATACTTAAATAAAGAAATGAAATATACTGACAGTAAATGTTAATTAATTGGAGGTTAATGTTAAAGGTACCCTGTGGAGTTTTTGCCGACTAGCAGCCCTATAGAGCTATGTTGTTACAAGTAGTCCATTACTGGCAATGTTTTTACCCAGTTCCATTGTTCTACAGGTGGCCGCAATGTGGCAAGAAACGCAGGGAAGAGGGAGACTGATGGACAGGGGTGGACACTTTCAGATACCTCCATGTCTGTCTCATCATGGGTCTCTCACACTGACACCTTGATGACTTGACTTTAAAAACCTTCACCATAGAGAGTGTCCTAACTGGCAGCATCACCACCAGGTATGGGAACAGCACTAAAAGAAACTGTCTGGCCCTGCACAGGGTGGCAGAACCCAACATCAGATGTCAACTCTCAGCCCCATCAGAAGGTGGAGGACGAGGGCCAAGAGATTCATTAAAGACCTCAATCGCCCCAACAACAGAGTCTTCTCTCTGCCTCTCTGGTTGCGGTCAGGGAGGCATTACCGCTGCCTGAAGGCCAAGACAGAGGATGAGGAGGAGTTTCTTCCCTCAGGCTATTTTGGTCCTTAACCAGTAACTTTACACACACATATAACTTACAATACATCCACCTGCCATACATCACTGTCATACTCATGACACCTTATATTGCAGTTATGCACTAGTTAATGGGTCCTTTTTCTGAAACCCACACTCAACATTGAAAATCATTACTGACTATATTGTTCATTGTTCCACCATTCACTTTTGTTCTGTTTCATATTTCAGTTTTATTTGAATTTGTTCGACTCGTTCTGGAGACCTATGAATTTCATGATACGTTGTACTGTGTACGATTATACATGACAATAAAACTTTGATTTGGTTTGAGCTAACAGCTAGTAAGTAAACATGAATGTAAACAATGCAGGGAGTTAATTTGTGTTTTTTTTAACTTTTGTTTGTTTACAAGAATACTCCATAGGGGATCTATAATTTTGTCAGTGACACTGGTCCAGGACTCGTTAGCCTGAGGAAATATGTGCCACTGGTAAAGCTGCGTACATCCATGAATCACCTGGGTTTTGTTCAGAGTTGGATGGTGAGGGAAGCTGCAGCTTAAGCTAGCTGTTGATGGTCAGCAAATATCCTCAAACAGTAAGCTAGCTTTTGTGAATTCACAATTTCTCATTCTCTATGTCTATACATGTTAAATGCAGAGGATGCGATGTGGGTGTGGAGTATTGGATCCATGCAAAGTAACGGTTTTACAGTACTTGCTAGTTTACTTTTTAGCAAGTACTGTGTAGCATGTATTGGATTTAAAAGTAATTTGCCAAACACTGGTCATTGCACATTTAGTTAAGAATTATATTTTTATTGAATTACTGTGCAGACTTGGTGCCAGGCATTCACTTGCTGTATGTGCAAGCACACGTGATGGGCCATTATGTCTGTGTGTGTCTGTGTGTGTGTAGGCCTATGTCTGCGCATGTAAGGCTGTAAACAATGGGACTGGTTCATAGACGCCACTGCAAGCGGCCCAAGGCCAGAAGAACGTCAGCTCAACAACAGCTCTTACAGACGACTCCCTGGCTTCTCGCCCATTATCTTCCCCCAACCAGCCAGCCAGAACTACTCTGTATTCTCTGGCCCTTTACAAAGGCTAATGAATAGACTCAGTAGAAAAACTTGAGGATCATCACAAAGATATCATCATGCTCATAGTTTGAAAACTGCAGCCTACCCTGCAAGTGAAAATACTTTATGTGTTAAACTCCTCTTTGCAGATGATAGCCCACGTTTATTTAAAAGTAATGCACTCTCCCGGCCCATTCAAAAAATGAACAGGTCAATATGAACATACAACGTTTCTAAAATTAAAGCTCAGTAACATTGCCAGCCTTTATACCCATCAGTGTCAACTAATCAGAAATGATTCAGGATGCTGTAGTTTTTAATTTCATATGATTCTATTACTAACTAGAATCAGCTGGATTTTATTTCATTAGAGCTGGGGACTAACCTCTTCACACTGCTGCTGTGTACAGCGTGCAGTTTTACTGGTGATATTACCAGGTATGGTATTTTTTTAACACTTATTATTCTCAGATATGGATGTTCACATAATGGAAGAGAAGAGGTGTTTCACTGAACAGGTCAACTCAAAGTTACACCATTTTAAACTCTTTATCATCTCTTCACAGAGTTAAAAGCATTTAAAAAGTGTGCACTTTATTACATGAGAGGATTTTTTTGGGAAATGACTATAAAACACCTGCATGCACATGGTGTTTGTGTCTAGTGGGAAAATAGAATCTGCAGCCTTATAAAAGAAACTGGAAACAATACAATGCCACTGAATTTTAATCTTTTAGGTCTGTCAACATGTATAGTATTCTTTGAAGTTAGAGGTTACAAATACTTTTTTTTTTGGTTGGGGGGGGTGGATTAACTGAATGTTTAGCATTACAAACATAACAGAACAAATACACTGATGTTGATTAAATGACTCATTCTGGATCAAAAGACCAGGTTATCCTCTCCAACCATCTTTCCTAAGCAGGTGGGTGGGTCCCATTAACTTCTTTGCTAATAATGAACCATAATCTTTCTTGAAAATTACTTTGGCACAATTTGAACGTTTAGGAAAATCTAAAATCTCATTATCTTCTGCAACGACTGTGGACAGGATCCAGTGTAACCCCGAACTGCCCCGTCTTTCCCCTCTGCGTGTGTCGGGATCTGAGAACCTCCCACACAATCCCAGACTGCCTTGCTCTTGATCAAAGGTACAGTGTGTTATTCAGAGAGCCAGTAACTATGATAAAGGGGCTCCTGTTACAATTAGTGGGAAGTTGTACGTTTTTTACCACCACCCCTCCCCCATACTCATCTTGTGGACGCGTTGGTCGGACGATTGCGGACATGAGAGCACCGGCTTTGACCTCTTTTTGACAGTAATGATTGCGCCTTGACCCAAAGCTTTTTTGTCTAAGTAATGATGACCCTGCATGTATTGTTGAGAAATGACTAAGCAAGATCTAGGGCAGATGCTTAGGTGATATAATATACAACACGCCATTTGTACAACTAGTAACAGGATGGTTAAACAGTTAGGGAGATGATAAAGTTTCCCTAACCCTAAACCTTTTTGAGCAAATACAGTGTTCACCTCTTTAACTTTAACTCTGTGGACTGTAGGACTCTTTAAACCAACAGCTGCAGTTCAAATCTCATATCCCGGTATATATGCATGGGAACTTGTCCTTTTTCCCCTGCAGTCGCCCCTCCTTGCATCCCCCCATCCACTTCCTGCTATCTCCAGGGCCAATCTAAAGCTGCGCTATTACGATTCCTGTACTCGGTGTGTTGGCGGCCGATTTAGAACATCAACACCATCAATCAACCCGCCAATGGGGCCAACCAGCTGGCTGAACCGTCCTGTCCCGCTGCCGGACAATTTGTCATCCAACGAGGCCAAGTTGCGTTCATGTAACTACACCCAAACCTTTCTCCTCTCTGTCTCTCCCCTTACTAAAAACCTCTTTTGATGACTTTTTGACTCGCCCTTTCAACTACTTCTTTAAAGCCTCGACATCTCGACTCAACAACAGCCTCTTTACCAAAAGCTTTACAATTGTTTTCTTTCTGTCCCTCCATATGCGGATAATTATAAACACTTATAGACATCCATGGGACAAGGCTCACTTTGGTTTCCCTTGACTGATGGTTTTGTTTCTGTTCACAAGGGAGTAGCAGTCTGTTTTATTCACTGTTTTGGCCGTTACTTTTGCTGGAAAAATAAACTATGCATTGGCCATTACAAATGTTTCCCCTTTTGCTTTATGCAGTGCGCAGAGGTGGGTCATTATCTACCAAAATATATGGCCAACAAATAAACAAACAAATAAACATGCAATGGAGAAACCATGAGTCATAGTTCTATAAAACTTTGGATATGACCATCCTGCTTGCATAAACTACGCAAATATTAGATTTTTATGCATGCTTCCTATATACTTGAGTCATAATAATAGAGTAAAACAGACTTTATTTGTCCATAAAAGTCATAGACACGGTCAATAAAAAGGAAGGCTTTTCCCAAACTAATAAAGCAAAAGCAAGATTTATCTTCTAAATTCATGTCATCAATTAATATGCAAAAAAGGGAGACACAGCAGCTTTGTCAGAGTAAATTACTGTTCATTATTTGGTCAATTCTAATTAGAAATCTGAATTACTGCAGCTATACATGTGACAAATGGGTTTTATAAATTCCCTGTAACAATGAT